GGTGCATCGACTGGCAAGATCCGCTTCTAAGTCTTGTAGATTAATGTTTCTGAGTACCAGCTCCTTATCAAATGATTTGTTGGAATTTCTCAAAACAGCATAGGTGGCCGCCCTTATATAAGAGTTGTAATTCGCTATTTGACGATCAACAACAACCGCAAAAGGAATCTCCTCGCATTGAATACCAATATTCTTAAACTCAGTTAAGATTTCAGCATACTTATTGCAATCAACACCTTCCAGTTGCAACATCAGTTTGTTAAGACCAAGATCCGTGGTGGTTTTGTCTTTGGCTTTCATTGCTTCTATGTAATTGAATAATGAGAGTTCAGTGAGTCTATCCTCTTTCTTATACTTCTCGTATAACTTCACCTCCTTTAATCCAATAAAGTCATTGAGCACAAGTTTAGAGATCTTCCGGCATGTAGGGTGGGAGATAATTCGGACAATATTAAGATTACTGTAGTCTTGGTTCAGGATATGCAATTCCATAGAATCGGCAAATGTGTAGTTGTTTAGGATCCAGTAAATAAGGTCATTACAAACATCGTCTAGCATTAAGACCTTGAGATCAAGACGGCGTCGGAAGATTTCAGGGGGTGCGTTATCTTCTTCTATCGTAGATAGATCAAAGGTGTGGAATATATTAAAATGAACATTCGAGATTCTAAGTGTGCGAGCAGTAATATTGCCGAATAGCTTTAAAAGGGGTAGACAGGCCTTGCTATTGTTATACGCTTGAAATCCGTTAATGTTGATGTCTGTATAGTGTATGTTCTGACAGAAAAGAATATCTGGATCGATGTTGATGTCAATATCATAATTGTTAAATTCAGAACCACCATCATCATATATGTGTTTAAGGTTGATATCAACTGGTTCTTGAAGTTCCAATTTGTTATTGCTGCAATCCTCAGCAGGGCATTTGATCCCATTTGCGATCACATGTTCTATCGACTTCTTACAATCTACATATAGATTCTTTTCAAGGATCTTTAACGTATCTAACAAACCATCTTGTCTTTTCGTATACTCAATTGTGCTCTCGTCAACAGATATACCATATTTGGCATATACTTCGGGGCTGTAGTATTGGTTATACGTGTTTTCAAGACACCAACATCCCTCGATGCTGGTTTGGGTAGTTATTTTAGTGGCAATGATTTGGGGAGTAGAGAGTGGTTGGTCTTGAAGAAGATGTGGTTGAAATAGTTCCGTAGTAGATGCGGGACTAAGAGCTATAATAGTATGAACATTAATGACAGGATTATTGCGCCTAATAAGACAGAGAAGAGTCTCCCAACACAGCTCTAGAGCTATTTCGGAATGAATGTCTTGAGTAGCATCCTCAAGACCAGTTAATGTTAAGTATCTCAATTCATTATCAATAACAATCTTTTGGCATTGGATTTCTTGATTGTGGAGAGCTGTGAAATTAATATTGGTGCTGGCCTCAACATTACGTGCATGGCTCGGTGGGACATGGTATAGGTGATATGTTAGAAGACGTTTTCGATCTTGGATTACTGTCACTATCAGAGTGAGTTTGGCAACTAGCCTCCGCTGGGACAACTTTAACCCAATAAGATCTACCCTAGATGGGTTCAAACAACAGACGTTAATTGTGAGATTGCGATTTGGATTCGAAGCAGCATAATCGATTGTTTCCTGTAATTGGGTCAAACCACAATCTACTATACTAACCCAATGCGAATATCTCACTATGTCATACTCTTCTATTCTAAGTTCCAGCTCCTTACACTCTAGCATGTTGATAATTCGAGATATAGCTTCGGATCTGTGGGTTGACCTCTTGACATGCTCTACGTTATAGATAAACACCGCCTTTTCGGCTTTGATAACAACAATATGCTCCAATGTATTCAAAACCTCCTGCAATTCGTCTACTTCCCCAGCTTTAGGCATTGTGAATTTCAACTCGGGCTCTGGCCACAACACCATATACTTGTCAATGTTTTCGGTGGAGTTGGTTGGTCTGGAACTTACAGTTGAGTCCGAGGCATCCGCTGCTACTTCTTCAGTTATGTGCTTCTTAACATAGACGATACTCTCTTCATGCCGAAACAAAAACTCAAGTGCCTTTAGGTCTTCAGTCATCTTCGGTGATTTTTCCCAACCCTCCGGAGCTGTTATTTCCTGCACATCAACATCACTAACACCGCCTACTTTACTATCACACATACCATCACCACACCCCCCTCTAACACTACCTAACACTAACACTAACACTAAAGACCATAGCACAACTACGATTCTATATCTAATCGCCTGAACGCAATAAATCCTATTTCTATTCACACCTCTGATTATTTCAAGATAAGACATAATTTTCAAAACTAAAGTCAAATTATCTAAATAAAAGCTAATTTCGCAAATGAGTAGATAAGAAAGTAAATTAATTACTTGATGCTTTTGTATTGTCGAGTTATATTAGTGTTTGGTTAGTATTGGGTTGGAGAGACTACTTGTTTAGCATTTATTAAGTCCAGATTGGCTTGACCAGCCGTCTAATTTCTTGCTGTTTGTATTGCCACGGTCTACTTTCCTTTCAGCACACATACAGGAAAGTTTGTCCTATCTCTTCAGTGCTTTTCATAATTGTAACATTGACTTTATGGACTCTTTATTTGGAGCGGCCATACATACTTGGTGAAATCACATAATTATAGCTTGTATACTCAAGCCAGTGCTAGTTACTGGCCAGCTACATATTAGTTGCCAAGTTAGTAGATTGATTTCTAGCCAAGGCGCTACTATATTATCAACTGGGCAACTGTCGAATGCTAGTTGGATTATTAGCCGGCGGGCTATAGTGCCCAGCAACAGAATGTGTATTAGTGCCAGCACGGCAGTGGTTGTGTCGTCTGGCGGGGTAGTTGTCCACTTCTTTAATAAACTCAACAATCCGTCCGTCTGGTGTTGGCAGAGCCGAAGTATTTCAATGTAGTTATTAAGGGTGGTAATTCTATCGTCATAGTCTTTAATCTGATCCAGAAAGTCAAAATACAACTCACTTGCCAACTTCTTTTCTTGGCATCTCCAGTACTCTTTCCAGCTTAGTGCATAGTAGACAAACATCCGCAGCAGAATTGTAACCTGGTTTTTACAATGGGCATCATATCTTGATTCAAGCTTTGACCATAGCATTTCATCGAGCAATGCCGGTGGTGCTTTATTGTAATTAGCTCTGCCCGACTCTACTTTAATCATATCTTTAGTCTTATGCAATCCGAGCAACATAACTATCTCGGCTATCATTGAACAAATGAAGATTTGGTTCTTGCTCGTAATATTGTCTAATAACATGACCTTCGCATTTATACGCACCACAATCCACTCTACATACAATGAAGAGAAGCTAAACACTACATTGACAAAAAGACTATTGTGGGGCCTCTGCTGGTCAGACAACTCCAAGTCGACTTGAATATGACCAAGTCCCATAGGCAATAGCTTCGGATTTACCAATATTGGCTGTAATGTCCTCTGCCAAGACTTAGTTTGAATCCTCAGACTAGCCGGAAAGATTTGGTCGTATAGTTCAATTTGGTATAAATCAACGAGCGGCATGTGCAATCGCATTTTGTTTATAGTATAGACATCTTGAATTGCAGAATAGTAAACTCCACCTAGGTATCTCATTGTCATAGTGGCCTTCTTAATCCTATTGTCAAGTATAGTAATGGATAGGATAGCCAATGGATTATGAAGCAATTCCAAGAATATTCCTAAGTCCGGTGTTTGTTCTTCAGGAGATATATCACAATCTTCTATTACGAAGTAGATAGCATTGAATCTTTCCTTTATACCAACAAACAGATCTCGATAGAAAGCTAGCAGATATGCGGGTGCTACTTGTGCCTGCGTAGTTAATTGCGAATTGGATGGACAATAAAGCGGCGGGTCAAGAAGCACAAGAGTTGACCAACCGCACTTAATCTCAGCTTGTTTAACTATTCGATTGTAAGCCTCAGTATAATCAAACAGAGCAGTATCATCAACTGAGTCACTCCATTTTACTATAAGCAACTGCCCATCATCTTGCAACAAAGTTGACAACAATCGATTAATACGGCCAAGACTCCAAAGTTCAGAAACCATCATACGCCCAATCCACACCCAAACTATCAAAAAAGTCGATTTACCTTCAAACCCACCACGCTTCATCTTAACCATTCCTCTAACGACACGACAATCTTGTGTACAGAAGACAGCATTATCCACAAATTTAGAGCAGCCCCCATCATAAAACACTTCCAAATGCGAATTGCGCAAGCAATAGATTGTTTTCGCATCATAAACCCTAGCCGGGCAGTAGATAGGAGAAGGACTACCTTGAAACATCCGTTCAGTTCTAAGAACCGGATTTACGACTGGATCACCACAAGCACTACTATGCAATCCATAAGAGTTACCATAGCGTATACAAGCCATTCTTTCACACTCATTAGCAAAGCAACCCACAATCACCCCCACCAAACAACCCAGATATATGAACTTCATTAGTTCTATCGCAAACCCCGTCCCCATTCTTATCTTTTTTTGATTGTTAGTTGCAAATTCGCATTAGATTACTACTATGTCAGTTTCAACTTAACCCAACCAAATACCAACTTAACCCAACCAAATACCCGCCACACATCTTAATGAGAATCTCAAGCCATCTCCACTTCAAACGAGTAAGTACATGGATAAATAACTTAGATATTTCTTCCTTACTACTTTAAACAACCCAATACTATCAACCCAAACCAATTCAAGTCTAAATCTACAACAAAGGTTGATAAGGACTTTATGAAGAGCCACAGAAGAATCTACCAACTTAATACAACTTAATACATTAGCCTGAATGATAATTTGTCTCTCGTTGACTATATTTGGATAAGAAGTCGTTATTATCCCCTAGGACACCACATTGGCCTTGAATTCAAATACTAACTTAATACACCTCTTAACTTAATACATATCTTAACTCAATACAACGCACATCTTAATCAAAACCAATTTAATCAAACACCTATCTTAACTAAACACCTATCTTAACTCAATACACCTATCTTAATCAAAACCAAACCATATCTTAATCAAAATCAAATCAAAACCAAACCAAACACACATCTTAATCAAAACCAAAACCAATTTAATCAAACCAAATCAAAATCAAACCATATCTTAATCAAAATCAAACCCAAATCAATACTAACTTATCTCTTTATTAGTCCTACGAAGATCAGCCAAACCAACCTAAGCCACTACTAACTCAGCCTTACGTTGGTCCTCAGCCAAACGAGCCTTCTTCTTCTTCTCCAGTAACTCAGCCCGGTTGTGATCCATACAGAACTTAGTGATCTGTAAGCCAGAAGAATGAACACCAAATCGAGCTATCTGTCCGTTCTTCTTGTTCCGATAAGAGATATCTAAGTAAACTCGATAAGTCGCTCGATTAACTTTAATCACTTTACCACTCTTACCCTTCAAATCTCCCTTCAAAACCAACACTTCATCACCCTTCACTACTGGAAAACTCCTAAATACGTACTGTTCTCTTAACTCCTTACTTAAACCACAAGACATAATAAGTCTTCTTTTAGCATCATTAGCAGTAAAATGAGCTTTACGGCATTTTCTTCTAGAACTGCTAACTTTACGGTTGAATTTCATACAGGGCTTAAAAAAGAAAAAAGACTAATTAGTTATGCATTTACTTAAGATCAAGATAAGAATTGAGTTAAGTAGGAGTTAGTTAAGTATTTAGTTGGGGTTAAGTTGAAGTTAAGTTAGCTAATACGTAGTTAATACTAACCCAATACGTAATTGATATCTATTGGATTGTAGTTAGAAGAGGAGTTTAGCTGGTTAGATAACTCAATACTAATACAATCATAAGACTGGATGGGTTAGTGTGGGGTTTATTATTAAAGTAGAAGTAAGTTATGAGTTGGTTTAGTATTGGATTGGGTTGGTTTAGTATTGGGTTGGTTTAGTATTGAGTTGGTCTTAGTATTGAGTTGGTTTAGTATTGCTGGCCTTTCTTTGCATAACACCTTTTATTCAATGGCTGATATAGTTTGTACATACTAATCTAATACTAACTCAATCACAACTCAATCACAACTCAACTTAACTCAAACTCAACCTAACTCAACTCAACTCAATCTAATACCATTGGGTTAGTAGAGAATTAGAATGGGTCAATTTTTACTAGATAGTAGTCTAATTACTAAAAATTGAATATGACGTCATCTTTTCATTCATTGTTGTATAGATTTGAAGACATATAGTTGCTGGGGTTTGGGTTAATCACAAGAACTAATACTAACCAAATGGGTACTGTAGTGTATGGTATATGTAATAAATGCTATGGCTTTATTTAGTGATGAATTGGTTTAGTATTGGGTTGGGTTGGATTGGGCTAGTGAATGTTTCTAATATAAAACATGCAGTGCTATACTACGTTGAGTTAGTGACTAGATTGTGGCAATAAGCTTTATTACTTAAGTTAAGGTAGAATTGAGTTGAGGTGGGTTGAGGTAGGTTAGGGTGAGTAGAGTAAACAAGCTATCAGTGAGACAGTCCGAGTAAATGGGCGAGACGGGTCCAGAACAGACTGCTTATGAGTATGTGAAAGATAGGAGAATTGGGCATCCAACTGGACTTGAGAGGGGATGCAGACGATGACATGGTATTATGCGGTGTGGTAGGACTAGTATTGGGTGTATCAGTAGTATCATCAGTAGTAGTAACAGCAACAGTAGTAGTATCATCAGTAAGAGTATCAGTAGTAGTAACAGTAACATTAGTAGTATTAGGAGTAACAGCAGTAGTAGTAGTATCAGTAGTAAGAGTATCAGTAGTACTAGGAGTAACATTAGTAGTATTATCAGTAAGAGTAACAGTATCAGTAGTAGTAGTATCAGAAGTAAGAGTATCAGTAGTACTAGGAGTAACATTAGTAGTATTAACAGTAGTAGTAGTAGTGTTAGTGGTTAGGTATTCTACACACTCATGAATACTAGAGGTAGTTGTGGTATTTGTTAACTGCGCATTAAACTGAGCTTGTAGTTGTTTTATCTTATCTAGTAGAGGCATAGACCACTCGCTTGTTTTCTTCAAATCATCGATTAGCTGCTGGATAGCTTTAGCTGTAAATTGAACCATATTATTGTCGTCTGCATCTGGAAATGAATTGCTCAACCGCATTAGATAATCAGGTCGCACAGAAACCAATCCAGACTTACCTTTTAAGCCATAGCCATCCGATAATTCCTTTCGCACCTTCTCAGCAGCTTCATCTGCTGGCATGTTCTTTATCATAGCAGCAATGTTTAGTTTCAAAATGTCGTCTATGTGCTTCTGGTCATCATTACTGATAGGGTTAATAGAATAAGCACTTAGAGGTGGATTAGAAAGCTTCAAAAGGCTAGAGAGCATCACCTGCAGACGTAACATCTCGTACAAGAAGTGTCTGAGTTGTTTCTGAGCACAAAGGTCTATGTTGGATACAGTTGAGTTTTTGATAAGCGGCTTCCAAGTTTCAAACGCTTTTTTGATATTATCATTAGCCCAATCAAATGACAGGACGGGAAAGTAGAAAATATGGAAAGGACTATAAGTCTGTATAAGACCTCTAACATAATTGTGAAGGTCTTTATACTGACTCAAATCCAATGATCCACGTGAAGAGAGAGCTTCCTTTCCAGCAACACTCTTTGTTAGCTTTTCAAGCTCAACAATATAGCGTTGACATGCGGCCTGCCCTTTTTCAATGTCATCTATGACATTATCTATTGCATACAATAGAGAGTCTTTCTCAAGATCATTAGGACAAGTCTTAGCATCTAGACTATGGATTCGGCGGCAGTTGTTCATCATTGTAGCAATACGCTTTGTATCAAAATCACTTAACAACCCAAGTTCTAACAATTCCAACCACTTAGTTACATAATAAACTGATGGTTCACCCATCCCAAGCATACCTCCCTCTTTAAATTTCATCTCTGAACACTCTGGATTAGCATCATATCTAATTGCACGCGAGGTTATCTGCCAACCATTATCAGAGTTAACACAATGGTGTTCCCAGTTTATCTTAGTGTTATCATCATCATCATCACCAGTCATTTGACCACTAGTTATATCACTACTCCAACCCAGCAACCAAGCCAGACCAACTCCTAACATTCCAAAAGAGAACTTCATCCTGTCCACCTCTCCTCAAAGCTTACATTTATACTTTCTCCAAGCCTGATCTACGATCATCATACTAATCCAATATCATACCAATCCAATATCATACTAACCCAATAGTGATTTAAGGTGCAAAGATCGAGTAGGTATTAGTTAAGATAAGTATAAGATAAGTATAAGATAAGAATAGTTGGTCAAAAGAGGACTTTAATCTTCACACAACTCAGTACAATTTAAGATAAATGTAGTGCCGCAATACTAAACCAACCCATTACCAACCCAACTAACCTGATTATTAGTACGCTACTCACTACTAATACTAGTACTAAACTAATACTAACCCAATACTAATACTAAACTAATACTAAACTAATACTAATATGACGTCATCTTATTCCAACTCAATTGTATTTACTTAATAAAAGACTCTACTTATCTCAGGGAATGTCTTTAATAGAGTATTAGATTAGATTAAGATTAAGTTAAGTTAAGATAAGATAAGATAACAAAATAAGATAAGATAAGATTAGATTAAGTTAAGATAACAAAATAAGATAAGATAACAAAAGAAGATAAGATAACAAAATAAGATAAGATAGCGTAAGTTGTTTATTTAAGAGGGACAAACTTAGAAGAAGAAGTAGCTCCAATTCCCGGCCGACCATGAGATACCATCTTATGGGGTGATGAGAAGTGGGCTAATCTATGTCCAATCATTTCCGGCTTAACTTCAAAAGTAATATACTCCTTACCGTTATAAACACCAACGATACAACCGACTAATTGGGGTAGAATAAGCATTTGTCTGCACTGAGTTGTTACAACAGCCGGCTTATCTCCAGATCCTTCTGCTGCTATCTTAGATTTCTCACAGGCTAATAAGAAGTCTATCTCTGATTGACTGAATCCTCTTTGAATTCTTCTTCTATCTCTAGCAGTTAAGAGATTAGCAAAGGTTTGAATTGGCATTTGAATTAAGTCTTCAAAGTCAACTCCACGATAAATGAACTTTCTAAAAGTTGTTTTCTTCTTCTGGGCTGTTGCTGCGGTTTCCATCAAGGGGGCAAAAAAAAGAAGAAGAATTAGTATTAAGTTGAGATTGAGTTGAGTTGAGTGGGGTTGAGTGGGGTTAAGATTGGGTTGAGTTGAGTTAGTTGATCGTAACTTAAACTTAACTTAACTTATCTTAAATAATAACAAACTTAATCTTATCTTATCTTATCTTAAATAACAATAAACTTAATCTTATCTTATCTTAAGTTAGTATTTGGGGATCTGAAAAGTATTTAGGATATCTACTTGTTATTGTTATCTACGTATTGTTATCTGGCTAATCAAAAGTTAATGTGAGATGAAAGTAAGTTGATAGTAAGTTGATAGTAAGTTAACGTGAGGTGAAAGTAAGTTGAATGTGAGGTGAAAGTAAGTTGAAGTAAGTTGATATTTATTAGTGGGTGTAGTTGGGTGGGTCGGATTGGAGGACTGTGCACTCGCCTTCAATGAAAGTATGCTGGTGAATTTCGGTGGTGGGGATGGGGTCGTTGGGGGAGTCAGAGGTAGTTATGGTGGGAATTTGGAGGGAATGAAGAGTATTGGGTGTATCGATGGTATAGGAGATTTTGAATGGGAAGAGGGAATCAGTATTATCACAAAGACCGGTGAATTCAAGTGAGAATGAGTCTTCAGCTGGTAGGTTGGTGGCTTGGGTAGTTAAGAAGTCTTCTTGGATTGTGCCGTTAGAAGTTTCAATATCGGAAAGTCGGCGAATGGGTACTTGAATACTGAGGGACTCAATAGATAGACTGGGAATGATTTCAATGAAGAAACGGTATCTTTCTTCTGATATTTCTGTTTGCCAGAAAGATACTTCAAATGGAAGTTGGGGTTGATCTTCAGTCCATTTAAGTAGAGTAAGTAAATGATTAGTAGGTAAATCTTCTCGAGGAATGATTTTGTTTTGATTGAAGGCTTTCTTATCAACGGAAGGATGGGCTCGAGTGGAGTTGGGTTTATGTTGGAGACTGAGGTGAATAGCTGCATAGGAATCGTTGGTGATTTTAAGATGAAGTTCGCCAGAACCTTCGGTCTTAGACTGTTCAGTGACGGCATTAAAGATTGTATTGAGTTTAATTTGGGTGATAAGATTAATGGGATAGGTTAAATTACTTATCTTACTTTTGATTTGTGATTTGATAAGTTGAGATTTAGAAGTTGGTGAAGATGAAGAATAGGTTGGTTGAGTCTTCTGATTGGGTATAGAGACTGTTTCTTGTTGGGATTTTGATGATTTAAGATCCTCTTTAAGAATCTTTATCTCTTGTAGTTCTTTGGAAATTTCGTCTAAGGCCGATTGGGATGGATGTCTTTGGTGCATTTTAAGGGCTTTTTCTCGCTCTTTCTCTTGAGTCTTTTGAATCATTTGGTGGAGGACTTCATCATTACTTTGCATGGTATAGGTCTTATTAAGATCTTCTGGTGATCGATCTACTACTCCAGTTGGGGTGAATATCTCATCAATAACACTAAGTAGTCCTGAGACTTCTGGGCCGTATGAGTCCATAGATAAATTAGGTGTAGCTGTCTTAATAACGCCTTCAAGGAGTTGGAGACCTTTAAAGACTTTAGTTTCTGACTCATCGGCCAAAACTGCTAAGTAAAGATTATCTATATCTTGATAGAAAAAGTGGCCTATATCAGTGGAAATCTGGCCTTTAGGTTCTTTAGTACGGGCTTTATGTTCCAGGAAAGTTTCAACGATTTTCAGACTTTTGGTCTTAGATAGGTTAGTTAGGGCCCGAGCGATATAGGGACCATGAGGAGAAGCTAGAAGGACGGCAGCAAGCATATACACAAATAAAAAAATGAATTAGATAGGCTTAGATTGAATTGGCTTGTGTTATGTTATGTTATGTTATGGTGGGTTTGGGTTGAGTTGATATTGGGTTTGGGTTGTGGTGGGTTTAGGTTGTGGTGGGTTTGGGTTGGGTTTAGTTGAGTTAAGTTATACTAACCCAATACTAACCTAACACAGACCAACTCAATGATATACTAATTGGGTTATATTATACTGAAATGGTGATATGGGAAAAGTAATGAAAGTATTGAAAGTAATGATGGGTTTGATGTGGGAGAAGGTGGATGTAAAGGATTTGATGTTGCGGATGGTAATTGGGTTGGTGGTTTTTTGGTTGGTGAAGGATACTTTGTTGGCCTTGGCGGAGGGTTTGCAGTTGGTGTGGGTACTGAAGGTTTTGGGAGTAGGGCGGATACTGAAGGTTTTGGAGGTGGTGGGACAGGTGGTGGGTTTGGGAATAAGTAGTTGGTTGGGGGTTAAATGGATTGGCTGGTGGTTATTGCCTGTGGGTGGGAGAGTTCGGGGTCGTGTGATGGTAGTAGTTGCTCATGCTGATGATGAGTCAATGTTCTTTGGGCCTTTGGTGGATCAGTGTTTGGACTTGGTTTTGGTTGTCTGCACGGACGGGTCTTTAGGAGGATGTGCTGAAGTACGGAGGAAAGAGATGGAATTGGTGGCTAAAGACTTAGGGTGTAAGGTTTACTTTCTGAATCGGCGGGATGGAAGTTTGGAGTATAGTGAGGAAATAGTTGCCGAGATAGTGGAATTAGGAAGACGAGAGGGGATAGAGGAAGTGGTTAGTTTTGATGAAGAGGGAGTTTCAGGACATTCGGATCATATTGCTTGTAGCCGAATAGCCTATCAAGTTGGTTTAAGTTTAGGCTTGCGACGAGTGTACCAGCTACAGTCTTTGCCTTTACCAGGAAAGTATGGGACCGTGTTTAGCTTTTGGGCTGATTCTGGGCTACTAATTAAGACGGAGTCATTAAGATCTATCTTAAAAACAAGAGAGAGAATGTGCATGCACCGCTCACAACTACTCTGGTTTAGGTATCTGTACATTATTTTCTCAACGTACATGGACGTCAACATCTTAGTCCCTCGTGTATTTGGCACTTACAAAGTGTATTGAGTTGTGTTGAGTTGGGTTGGTATTGGGTTAGGTTAGGTTAGGTTGGGTTGGTGTGGTGTGGTGTGGTGTGGTGTGGTGTGGAGTTAGGAACTGATATAAGATATCATATGAATAATATCTCAAATAAAGGATGTAGTTTATTTGTTGGCCGACTTATCTTGCTTACTGGCTTCATGAGAAGCATTGGGAGTGGTGGTTGTTTTGGTTGCTTTAGGTGTTTTGGCTGCTGAAGCAGTGGTGGTATCGGCTTCTAGAGCTTCTTCAGTCGGTCCGAATGAATCGGCTGATTCGGTTTGTTCTTCGGTCTCTTCCTTCTTAAGAGGAGCAGGAGAAGGCTTGTAGTTGATCTGAAGAGGACGAAGAGCCTTAGAAGTAGGTTTGGGTTCTAAGAATGCGTGGGTGAGTTTCGCTAATTCCTTGAATGAGGGCATAGTTGAGTTCTTTTGGAATGTCGCGAGAATCTTCTCAAAGCTAGAGTCTTCCTGGTTTTGACTTGGTATTTGTGCGACTCTTTGGCCTACGAACCGGGCCTGAGTAACTTTGGCTCCTCCTTCTTTCTCGTCCTTAGTAGCTGAACTAGTCTCTACTGCAGATGCAGGCACCATCTTAAGCGTAGCTAAAGTATCTGTTCCCACCTGAACCGGTTGTACCTTATTCCTAACGGGCATAGGAGGTAAACTAGGCCGCATAGGATTAGTCGGCTTACTAGGTCTACCAGGCCTTGGCATAGGTTGCTTATCAATCGGACGCCTGCCATTCGGAGGAGGACAAGTCGCTTTATGAACCATTCCGCCCGATTTCAGATTCGGCAGATCAAACAACGAAGTTTTCCTTCTTAACTGAGGCAAAGATTCAGGTATTTCTCCTCTTAAGTACTGCTCAATCAAATCTTCCGCCAATCTGTTAGCCATTAAGTTTACAGCCGTTTTAGTAGTCAAACTAGCTTTACTTCCATCTAAAATACTAGCCGGGTGTTCTTCCACCTCTCTATTCTTCTCCATAGTCAAGATCTTCTTCTCAATATTCTCCAAGTCACCCGCCAAAACGTTCTCAATCGGTTTATCTCTTGGTGTATGCCAAGCCTCTTGCAGTTTCAATTTAACCGCTTGTAAGTCAGCCAGCACCTGCAAAGCCAATTTCATTGACTCACCTTTATGCTTAAAAGTCACATATCCCACCATGCACAGCATAGCCATACTACCCAGGAATAAGACTATTTTCATACTTCCCCAACTACCTCATCCCTTTATACAGCACCTGAAACCACCACAGCAAACAAACACAAGCCCAAACTCCAAATACCAACAACACCCCCAATAGATCCCCATTTACTCCCAACTATTTACCCAACACCAACACTCACCATTTGTTTTCAAAATCCATATCTTATCTTATTCATATCTTATTCTTATTCGTACCTTATTCATATCTTATTCTTATTCGTATCTTATCCTTATCTTTACAATCCCTCACTTCCAACCTCACTATCCCCTTTACTTACTATAATGACTTACTACTTACTATAATGACTTGACTTGTTTGCTAATTACTAGTTACTATAATGACTTGTTATAATGACTTACTATAATGACTTGACTTGTTTACTAATTACTAGTTACTATAATGACTTGTTATAATGACTTGTTATAATGACTTACTAATTACTAATTCCTAACCACTTGACCATTTACTTACTAACAACTTACTTACTTCTTATATGACTTACTCATTACTACTACTCAACTACTACTAAACTCAACTCAACTCAACTCAATACTAAACTCAATCTAATACTTTATTAACTCAAATCAACCCAATACCAAACCCAAATCAACATCACTACTAAACTCAACTCAATCTAATACTTTATTAACTCAAATCAACATCACTACCAACTCAATACCAACCCAACACAACCCAATAACTAACTCAAACCAACTCAACTCAATAACTTAACTCAAATCAACATCACTAAGATTGATAGCAATATAAGGAAAGACCCAACGACCACACGTACACTTACTCCCCCACCATCTAACTCTACCCAGTCCCCGTCTACACCCACTACATTTTATCCTCTCTAACTCAACTACCACTCCCTCCGGCACTTCCTCACTCAATACTACTAAGCATCCTTTATGTCCCGACCACTTACCACCCACTACCCGTCTACACTGCCGACAAGTAATCTGCATTACCCTTTTCTTCTTTCTTTTTCTTTTTGTCTGAATGAGCAGTGAAGTCCCGAGAGTCTATCGTGAGATAATAGAAGAAGTAATCAAAAGCACAGATGAAGATAACTATAAGATAGGAATAGAAAAAGGAGTATTAGAAGAGATAAAGAATACTTGGATTACTAAAATTTGTGAATATACTGATATAGGTGAGTATAAGATAAGACATGGATACAATGAGACTAGACCAGGACTAGAAGCTTATTACAACCAGAGCTACTCTTATAGTGAGTATGGATATCGAGATTATCCCTATCCTTACTATCCTAAAGATAAGGATGATAAGAGTGGTAGTAATGGGCCGGATTACAGTCAATACGATGGGTTAGGTAGTGTGATTGATAAGGGTAGAGATAGTGTGGTTAGTAGGGATGGAGGTAGTTTGGGTGTGATAAAGGGAGATAAGATTGGAGATAATGATTTTGATTTTGATTTTGATCTGGTAAAGGGAGATATGGTGGGTGGAGATAAGAATGGAGATAGTAATTTTGATTTAGATAAGGTGGGTGGAGATAAGAATGGAGATAGTAATTTTGATTTAGATAAGGTGGGTGGAGATAAGAATGGAGATTGTAAGGGAGATAGTAAAATTCAAAAAGAAGGGAGTAGAGATAAGAAAAAAGATAAGGTTGAGCAATTAGATGGGGGAGAGGCTCAAGAGGAGGAAGAGTTAGATTCAAATGATTTATCTGAGAGTGATTGTGATATAGATAATGAAGAGACAACTAAAAACGTAATGCTTTGTTTATTTGATAAGGTAACTAGAGTAAAAGATAAGAGAAGATGTACTTTAAAGCATGGATTCTTATCTATTGGTCGGACTGATTATACTTTTAATGTAGCTAATGGAGATTTAGAGTGGTAAAATTTTTGATAAGATTTTTGAGATAAGAATTTGATAAAGATTTTGAAATAAGAAAAGATAAGAAAAGTAGAGATAAGAAAAGTAGAGATAAAGTAAAAAGAAATGGTTGTACATTTAGAAGTAAATTCTCTTGTCTTGTTCTTCGGCTTTCTTATCTTCTTTGATACGTATTTCAATGAACTTATCTAGAAGAGCTCGGGCTCTTATCTCATTTTGTCTGTTCTTGATGATTTTAGTGCAGGGTGAGTCTATTAGGTCTTGAGAAGGTGACCAGATGGGGTTTGGGGTGACTGGACTGGTCTTCTTGTTGGTCTTAAGTGGGAGGGGTAGCATGGTAAATAAAAAAGTAAAGTATAAGTATTTATTAGATTAAGTTAAGATTAGGTTAAGATTAGATGGGGTTGGGTTAAGTTTAGGTTGGGTTAGGTTAGGTTAAGTGGGGTTGGTGTTGGGTTAGTAGTAAGTAGTTAGTAGTTAGTAGTAACCTAATAGAAGATAGAAGATAAGTAAATTTTGATATGTATTAGTTGATACCAACTAAGTACTAACTCAATACTAACTCAATACCAACTAAGTACTAACTCAACTAAGTACTTAATTTAGGAGTCTAATGAGATACTTAATTTGTGATTATAATGAGATGTTTAATGAGGAGATAATAAAATGAATAGTTGTTGTTTTGTATTAGATATAGTAGTGCGTTAGTATTATTGGGTTGGTGTTGGTATTGGTAGTGGGTTGGTGTTAGTAGTGGGTTAGTATTGGTAGTGGGTTGGTGTGTAGATATACTCACTCAACTGTGCTTGAGTTAACTAATTAGGTACTAGATGGGGATGGATTAGTTGGAGGATGTGCTAGTTGTAGATGTACTAGTTGGGGGGTGGGGAATAATGGTCCATTCGAGGGTATACTTGGTAAGGGAGTGGTGGTTGGTGGAGGATTTGGTTTGGGTGGTGGATTTGGCATAGAAAGGTAGTGGTTGGGAGTAGGTGGTTTGCAATGTACGGAGGTAGGGAAGTGGTGAGTCAATTAGGATTTCTTTGGAGTTACGGAAGTACCGGCCATTATGGTAGATGATAAGTGATTCAGCAAAGGCCCAGGCAAAGAAGGTAGTGGCTACTTGTAATTGTTCAGGAGTTAGAGTAGTTGGGAAGAGAGGATGGGGATTAGGAAGAGGAACTCCGGCGCGTTGGAGAGAATGAAGAGCACGAGTAAATGATTGAGTTAGGATTGGGTTAGAATGGAGTGGGGCTGGATTGGTTTTAGTGGGAGTAAGATTGAGCTGACTAGGAGTAAGAATAGGATTGATGGGAATGGCTGAAGTAGAGGAGTAGGTGGGCAGAGGTACTTCCATACGCACGGCTAGTGAAAGAAGAGCAGCTAAATCTTGGGGTGATTCATGAGCCGCTCTAACTACTACTGCCGCTAAAAGAGGGTCTAAACTAGTAGTTAGAACTTGCCGGCCAAATTCAGTCAATCGGTCTTGAATAATATGAAGACGTTTAAGCATACTTAACTCACTCGTAATAGCTTGTGGTAAAGGAGAAGTAAGATAAGGTACTCTTTTGATCTTATCAGGATGAACACCCGTACGTAATAACAAACTAACTAAAGGAAGAATACGTTCACGACGAACAGCTGGATCCCGAGCCGTACGCATACTATTATACTCTGCTGCCGTATAAATACGATAGCAAACACCAGGTCCTGTTCTTCCGGTTCTACCCTGGCGTTGAGCAGCTGATGAACGAGAGATAAGAACTTCCTGATAAGTATAAACACCTAAATCATAACAAAAAGTCTTCTCTATCTCCCGGCCACCATCAACTACATACTTAACATCAGGCAAAGTCAAAGAGGTTTCCGCCGCATTAGTAGCAATAATTAAAGCACCACTAGAAGATAAGATAGCTGCCTGTTCTTTAGGAGGTGTTTTTGAATGCAAAGTAAAGACAGGCCTATCTAATCTAGCAAAAGATTGGGCTAAAAAGACTGTTTCCGCAATAGTAGCTACAAAGACTAAAACAGACTCACTTTGTTCAGCTACTAAACGAAAGACTCTATTCTGAATCTCCTGTAAAGGATTGTACTCCTTAGCTGGCAAGTAGTGCACTTCTATTTCATGCTTTAAAGGCTCAATTCCTATCTGAGCTACTTTTACTTGGGCTAAATCCTCTACTGCCTGCACATACTCAGGAGTTATACCGGCACTCATTAAGACTAGTCTTAATCCTCTCTTCCGGACAACCTTAGCTAAGATCAGGAATAAAGCATCAGAATGTAAAGATCTCTCATGTACTTCATCTAAAATCACTACTGAGTACTTACTTAGTAAAGGATCTTCTGCTAATTCTTGCACTAGTACACCTTCAGTCACTACTACTATCTCTGTTTCAGCCGAACACAAACTATCTTGACGCATCTTATACCCACAAACTGTTCCTAAGGCTTGTTTCTGTTCCTGAGCAATCCGCTGGGCAACTGCTAGAGCTGAAACTCGTCGGGGCTGAGTCAAGCAAATCTTACCGAGTCCACTAAACCCATTCTCATAAAGAAACTGAGGTACCTGAGTAGACTTACCAGAACCCGTCCCACCAGTCAGTATAGTAATAGAATGTTCTTTAATCGCACTTACAATATCATCTTCCAGATAAGTGATAGGCAAAGTTCCGATTAAATTAGATCTAGTTCTAGCCAGAGACTTTTCAGTCTTAATACGTTCTGGCTTATAGAGATTAGTATCAAGTTGAGTTGTGTTTGAGTTAAGTAGAGGTGGGTTTGTGTTTGGGTTAAGTAGAGATGGTGTGGTGTTATCTGCTGGTGTGTTAGGTTGAGTTGGTGTGGTATCTGCTAGTATGTTGTCTACTGGTAAGCTATCTACTGCTAACCCAATACTAATATCACTATCTACCAACCCAGTCTTACCCAATGAGGTATTGTCTAAACTAACACTATCTAAACCATCACTTAAACTAATGTTATTAATGTTATTAATCTTATCTACCCCATCTACACAACCCAATGCTAAACCTACCTTACCACTACTATCTCCACTCAACTTAACACCACTCAACTTAACACCACCCAACTCGACCTCACCTAAACCTACCCCAATTTGACCCTGGTTAATTTTTTCCTTTTTGGGTAATTTTTCTTTTTCCTCTTTGGGTATTTCCTTTTTGGGACGCAATTTTTTAGTCTGACTAACCCGCCGACTAATCGTACTGAAAGACTGAGCATCAGCCGGTCTCTCAGCCTGTAACTCACGCACTCGTTCTAATAAAACATCTCTTTGCTTCTGCTGCGCTTTTTTCTCTAGATATCGCTGGAGCAATCTTTTCTTCTTAGCACTCATTTCTGGAAAAAAAACTCCAAGTCAACCATTACTACTTTAGGAAATATCTTTTCTAGAAAAAGAAAAACCTTTAAATGTCCTAATAAGGAAATTTCTAAGACATAAATAATTGTGATTTTTTCTAGTCATGAGAAGAATGGTCGAAACCCTTTATGCAACACAAAGCCTTAAGAAAAACAAAAGATGTGCCCCTGAACAATGGCAAGAAGACTTAGCCTGCCGTAATGGACAGAGTATTCGTGATAAGGAAGATGAACTAGTCAAAAGTATCAAAAGAAAAGTCCGATCTGAAGTAGGTCCCGTTACAATAGTTAGACGTAATTTAGATTCTAGTGAGTATAAGATAAGACCGCAAAACAATCTTCTCTTCCCAGCCTTACTGAGAATTATCTATCTAGTCCGAGTTGGTGATAGTGTTGTTCCTATTGAAGCTTTTACTAGGGATGGATCCGCCCTTTGCAGTCGTAATACTGAAGTCTTAGCTATGGTTAAGAGGGCTAGATATGGTGAGAGTAAGAATTCACCCGTTTTAATCGATTTACCTGATGCTCTCTCAGTAGTTTATGTCATGGCTGGTCCGCAGCTTAAGTTGGCTGAGTTTAGTGAACGTAGTAGGAATGAAAAGGATAGGTGGCGTTGGGGAGTTTTAGTTCTTTTACGAGTCTTAGAGGCTTGTGTGGCTTTTGACCGGAGTGTTCTGGACGTAAATGGACTGTTTTATAGTGGAGTAGGTCGAGATGTATCTATTGCTTATTTACCGGCGGAAAGAAAGCGGGTTAAGCTAGTTGAGTTCTTGTTTGTCTTAGCGGGTTTGGTTGTGCCTACGTATACGCACATGGAAAGAGCTCGGGTTTTAGAAGGACTGAAAGTAGCCCCGGCTGATATAGGACAGGAAGTACTACAGACGATTGGGTTGGTAGGTGAAGGGACTAATTGGCGGGGTAAGTATATGGAAGAGATTCAAAAACTACGTTTGTACTTGGCTAAACAATCACCATTAAGGTAGATAGTGATTGGTTTTTGATTTTTTAAGATAAGATTAAGTTGGTATTGAGTTAGGTTAAGTTTGAGTTGAGTTGGGTTAGGAGTGAGTTTGAGTTAAGTTAAGTCAAGTTGATATCTGATAAGATCTGTACTCGGTATAATAAAAGTCTTTATGTAATTGGGTTTTGATTTGATTGAGTTAGTTGTTGGTTGTTGATTGTGATTGATATTGAGTTAAGTTGTGGAAGTAGTTTGGTTTGTGTGATATCTAAATGTCATACTTATACTCTACTTATACTAATGCCAACTCAATACTTACACTCTACTTATACTCATACTTATACTCATACTTACACTCTACTTATACTCTACTTATACTCTACTTATACTAATCCCAACTCAACCCAACCCAATACTAAACTGAACCTCGTTAGCTCAGTTGGTAGAGCATTAGGCTTTTAACCTAAGGGCCCAGGGTTCGAGTCCCTGACGAGGTGTCTTTTTTATTTTATACTTAGTTTGCTTTAACTTGACTTAATAAAATATTAAATTAAAATGAATGCGTTTGGTTTTGGTTTGGTTTGAATTAGTTTTAATATTAAATTGAGTTTGGGTTTGAATTGAGTTTGAATTAAGTTAGTATTCATTTTGTATTCACCTAATATAATACTGTCATCCGACTACTATTAAACTCAACTTAACTCAAACTCAACTTAACTCAAACTTAATATGACGTCATCACACACACTCTTATTTATCTAATAAATGGTACTCACACTTATCTCATGGATTAGTATTAGTACTAAGTTGGTATTAAGTTAGTAGTGGAGACCAGATATAATGATAAGATAACACAGTAATAAATCTTATCTAAACACAATCTAAATCAAAAATAAACCCAATTTGGACTATTTATTTCGGAGGGGTCGTTTGTAGATAGATACAGATTGGTGGTAGGGAATGCGCATGTGCAGAGATTCATGTACTTTGATAAGTTCGGGTAGTTCCTGTTCTATCTCTGTATCGTACTGGCTGTTAATCACTAAATAGTCATACTCAAGAATTCCTGCTCGTTTAAGATTAGATATCATAGCTGAAGAAAAGATAGTATGCTCTTGTAAGACTAAATTATAGTGCTTGTACCTTTGCACTCGTTTTAATCGGTCTAAAACCCCACTTAAATCCGGATTGTCATCCAAAGACTTCACTATAATCCGACGGTGTCCTAAATAAGTATTAAAAGGCAACATATAAGGATTAAAGGCCGAAAAGATAAACACAGGTTCAGAACGACTAGATATATGTCTATAACATTCTTTCCTTAAAAAAGATAAGGGTCTACTAATATTTTGATGATCTATTCCTATCAAAATCCCAATCAAAAGATTGATAGCCAAAAATTGCTTACAAAACAAAAACTTACTACTCCTCCCTATCAATCCCCTTCCTACACCCACCTCACTCCAAACTCTTCTCATATTCTTAGCTATAATCAGATTAAAGAAAGGTAAAACCGGTAACAAAAACCTCATCTCCTTATGCCCAATCAAACTATGCACTACTAAATAAACAGCCGGAACAACTACTTCTAAGTTCAAGTAAGAGACCCGACAGAATACTAATAAACCCGTATATCCTCCTAATAACACCACTACAAACCATAAGACTACATAACCCGGTAAGACTCCAAAAAGCTTAGATACGCCATAAACCAGATTAACCCGAATAAATTCAAAAGGAGATACCACTAACTCCCCATAAAACCAACTATCTATCAAAATCCCTAATCCCAGAGCCAAACCAACTCCCAACCACGTACTTAAAGCCAAAACCCGACTGTGTCCTAAATAAGTCAGTAAAACCCCCTGCTTAATATCTCCTTTCCTCTTCACTACCAACCAAGCACTCCAAAACTGTTCAACCTCCTTCTTAAGCACGTACAACCAAACTACTCCAATCATAAAGATAGAACTCGTCCTGATATAAATCAACAACCCAGATATAAAAGCACTTACCCCTAAAGAGATCAATTTAGTCCTCTTATCCCGTTCACTAACAATACTTAGCAATCGCGCACTAATCCACATACCTACATTCATCTCTAAAGAATTAGCATGTGATCTAGTACTGTACAACCACTGCCCTAAATTCATAGTACAAACCAAAACTATCTCTAAAGGTATCTCTTCCGTTCCTATCAAAAGTTGGTAAATTTTGATTGTACTATAATCACCTAAAGCAGCTAGTAAAGCACAAACAGCCTTAACTATATAAGGAGCTACTTGCATAAAGACTAGTTCACTTAAAATAGATTTAGATAGCCATAAAGGTAGATAAAAAACAGAAACAAAAACAAAAGATCTAATCCCAAAAAGCCATTCCCATGTCACACTTTGTTTTTTCAAAAGCAAACCCATTGCTATCTCAATTGTTTGAAAATACTCATCCGGTTCAAAATGTGTGTTAATAAGTAGACTATTAGTTAGTCTAAATAGTACTAATAAAGAACTAAGACCAAATGAAGTGCTAAAAAGATGCCTACGATGCCTCTCTTTCATTAATTAGTTAAAAAATTAGTGTTTATTTCTTCCTCCGCTTCCGCTTGTTCTTCTTATCTGTATTTGGTTCTGGATGGTTCTTTTTGATTGTACTAATTTGATGGCTAATTGAAGCTCTTCTTATGTGCTTACTAGGGGTTAAGTTGGGTTGAGTTAGGGTGGGATTGGGTTGAGTTAGGATGGGTTTAGTAGGGGTAGTTAGTGTAGTTAGTGTAGATAAGATAGGTTGGTTGTCTTCAGTTGATTTGATAGGTTGTGTTTTGATAGGTGTAGATAAGATCGGTTGGTTATCTTCAGTTGGTTTGATAGGTGTAGTAGGTATCTCAACTGACTGGATAGGAGTAGATAAGATAGGTTGGTTGTCTTCAGTTGGCTTAATTGGAGTAGTAGGTATCTCAACTGGTTTGATAGGTGTAGTAGGTATAGATAAGATAGGTTGAGTTTCAACTGGTTTGACTGGAGTAGTAGGAATGTCATTAGTAGTAGATAAGATATCATTTGGAGATAAGATATCATTTGGAGATAAGATAGGGTGGTTATCTTCAGATGGCTTAAGAGGAGTGGCTGGAGTTACTTCAATCTCTTGGGAAGTGATATCAGGAGAGTTTTGAGTTAAGATAGGAGTAGTTTGTGTCTCTAAAGCAGGAGTAGATGGATGTTGAGTCACTTCATAAGGAATGTTATCAAAAATACTGATACGAGAAGTATTTTGATTAAGATTAGATTGAGTTAAGTCGAGATTAGATTGAGTTAAGTCGAGATTAGATTGAGTTAAGTCGAGATTAGATTGAGTTAAGTCGAGATTAGATTGAGTTAGATCAAGATTAGATTGAGTTAAGTTGTTAGATTGTGATAATTCTTCTGATTCAACTTCTGGTTGTAAATCAGTATATTGATTTAGACTGTTTTGCAGGGGATCAAGTGAAGATTCAGACATTTGCTGGCCAGAAGAATCATAATCAGATTCTAATTGATCTATTAAAGCACCAGCTGAAGAAACAGATTCTATATCTGTAGCTAAAAGCTCTTTACCAAAACATACTATAAACTTATCTTCTTGTACGGTCATTCCTTCTATCTCGCCTGGTAGAGGTGAAGATAGTTGAGATTGTTTTTGTTCTAGATTTTGATTTTGAGATAAGAATTCTTTTTGATTTTGAGATAAGGAAGGAAATATTGTACTACTATCTAAACTAGAACTTGTCTTAAGAATACGAAAAGTATGATCTTCTATTCTTAATAAAGAAGGATAGATAAGAGGAGTGTTTGTTGTTACTTTTTGCTCATTAAGTAAGACAGACCCGCCTGAAACGCTTAAAGTATTAAGTTTATAATCAATTAGACAACTTACAGGGGCTGAAAGGACTAATTTAACATCAGACTTAGTATCTGAACTAATTAAACAGGTTTCTTTAAGTATTTCGACTCTATTAGGCTCGCCTTTACCACTAATATGCTCAATGAAGTACTTCTCTTGCATAAGGCATTAAAAAATAAAAAAAATAAAAAGTACACCCAGCATGGGACTCGAACCCACAGCCCTCAGATTAAGAGTCTGATGCTCTACCGATTGAGCTAACCGGGTACATGTATGGTTTGGATTGGGTTGAGTTGTGATTTAGTATGTATTGTATTGTGTGGTGTTAAGTTGAGTTAGTATTGTGTGGGTAGTGAGGTGTGTTAAGTAAGTGGTAGGATTGGGTTAAGTTGAGTATGTATTGTGTGAGTATTGTGTGGGTAGTGTTAAGTTAGTATGTATGGGTTAGTATGTATTGGGTTGAATAAGTAGTGAGTTAAGTGTTGTAAGTATTATGTGCACTAAGTTGAGTAGCTGACTAATAAATGTAAAGGTAGATATTGAGTTAGTATTATGATGTAACAATACGCAATACCATATTAGCGCAACTTAACTTAACCTAACCCAACACAACACAACTTAACCCACCTCAACTTAACTCAACACAACCCAACTTAACTTAACTCAAGTAAATGTAATGGGGATAATAAGTGCTTTATTTGACAAGGGAAGTTAGGAACTTAAGTAGGAAGATAAGGAAGATAGTTATGATGACAAGACCAATGATGGTGAAGAAGAGGCGGAAACGGCGTTGTCTTTTGCGGTACTTGATTCCGGTAATGAGATGGGCGTTGGTGCTGGTGCTTTTTTGGTTCATGGTATGCATGTTGTATGAAATAGTGTTGAGGGCATCGTCGGATTCGGCAATGGTCTTTTGGAGTCGGTCGGCGATAGTGTTGAGGGCTTGAAGGTCGTTGAGAATGGCTTGAATACTGGTGTGTCTTTTCTTGGCTTGCTGGATAGTGGCTTGGGCTTCTTTGTTGCCGAGGGCGAAGGCGGCTTGGAGGAGTTCGGGGCCCTGGGTAGTGTCTTCCAGGAGGTCAAGTTCTTCGGTGGTAGCATCGGGCTTGGCTATGCGGTAGATTTTGCCGAGTCGGACTTTCTCGTCTTCGAGAATGACGGCCTCTTCTTTGCGGAAGGCTTTCAGGACCTTTTGGACGCGCTCGGTGACTCCTTTAATATGGGTGGTATGAAGGTACTCTGAGGAGGCGGTGGTTGGTTTTGGGTGCTGGTCAAGTACGTCAATGCGCTGCTGGATTTGGGTGAGGAGAGTTTGAAATTCATGGGTGAGTTCTTGTAGCTGCTTGGTGCCCGTGTCTTGGGTAAACTCTTCGGTGGCGAGCATGTGCTTAAGAACGGATAGTTCGGAGTAGAGGGCACTGGCCTGGTCAATAAGGCCATTTATGCCGCGAATGTCTTCCAAGAAACTCTTGAACTGGGATGAATCAGATTTCATTCTTCTCCGCTATTGGATCTTTTTATGCTCGCTTTGGAAGCGAGAGATTGGTGATCTTTTCCCCGGATCTATCTCAAGGAGATAATTTGTGGCTTGTTTGACAAAAGCAGGGGTATTTGGTAAATGAATAGATCGATTGGCTTGTTTGGGAAAGTAACCATTAGCAAGCACGAAGACAACAATCCCACAAGACCAAGCATCGGCTAGAAATCCGTTGTAAATACCACCGGTAATGGCTTCTGGGGCGGCATAGTAAAGAGATCCACCATAAGCTTCGACTTGGCCATTTTTAAGAGCTATTTGGGCCATACCAAAATCGGTTATTTTGATTTGTGAGTGTTTGTTGATAAGAATATTCTCTAATTTGATATCTAAATGACATATTCTTTGCTTGTGGAGGTAAGAGATGGCAGAGACTAGTTGCTTGAATATCTTACTGATAATTGGACTAGCTAGTCGTTTGCACTGCTGAAGGAGAGTGAAAAGATCAACACTATGGAAGTATTCCTGATAAATCATTGTAATTTGGTTAATAGTTCTTTGGCCGTAGTACTCAATCAGATTGGGGTGTTTAGTATTGGTTTTAAGGTACCTTAATTCGTTATTAATAGTTGTTCGGCCGGCCTTACTACTGCCATCAATTAGTTTGACCACTAGTAAAGAGTTGTTGCCTTGGTTACGACCGATAAAGAGGTGGGAATTGGGTGTTTGGCTAAGAGTAGCTAATAATTGGGTTGTACTGAATAGATCGGAAGAGCTAAGAATAGGTGGATCAGATGGACCCAATTCAGCTACTCGGCCTAGATTAGGGGCAGAAATACTACGGGCTAAGCCATTTTCCTCATAAACATTATAGTAAACATAATCGCTACAAACTGTCCGATAGGCATCATATAAGACCGGTCGACTTCCAAATAAGGAATTAGCTCGGAATCTCTTTCTTGTTGGTCGCATTAAAATCTCAGTCTCAACAAATAGTCTTATGCAGATGGCACAGCGTATCATATTTACCATTTGAAGTAAACAGGCCACCAAACTATGTCCAACAAACCCAATCTAGCTTGTTTTTCCAGTCCTTTCTGTGCCTGCTTATGGGTCACTTCTTTCTTCCTCCTCAACTATATCTTTGCCCTCTACATTAAACTGCAAATACTCTACCACCCACCAACTCTGCCCAACTCAACCTAACCCAATACCAAACTCAACCCAACTCACCTCTACACTGCCCAGCCAGTATGACAGTAGGCAGAGAAAGCAGTGTTTAACTACTCCAATGGTTTGATATCTTATTTTGATATCTTATTTTGATTATGACTTTATCTGATTCTATTCGACTTATTTCAACGTGACTTAACTTAACACAGTACTAACAACTTAGCATTATAGTAACTACAACTTGACATCATAGCAACTTAACATTATCGTAACTTAACATTTGACATCATAGTAACTTAACATCATACTAACTTAACATTTGACATTATAACATCTTAACATTTAACAGCTTTAAGTTTATTTATCTTATCTTATCACAACTCAACTCAACTCAACCCAACTCAACTCAATCTAAACTTATTTAATAACTTATTGTGATATAATCTCTCTTGATTTGTTCTCTTTAGCCTTCTCTTTCTTCTTTAGCCGACTAACTACAGCATCTACACCTTTGTCTTTAGCTGTTTCCATGGCCTGTAATATTCGTTTACGCTTACTGGAAAGATAGAAGGGCTTTTTGCCCTCTTTGACTAGCTCGGCTTCTAATTGGCTTCTTTCTCGTTCGGCTTGTTGTAAACGAATGAGTCGTTCTCGGGCGGCAATCCGTGCTTTTTGTTCTTTGATATCTTGGCCTTGGGCTTGTCGTTCTGCTAAAACCTCTTTGTCTTTGTCATAAAGGAATTGATAGTTCTCTACATGCTTTAGAAGGTTGATTTTGGTATTGAAGAATCGTGGATCTAAAATTGGTGCTTCTTCTCTTTTTCGAGTTCTTTTACTGCTAATCTCTATCGGAGTGCGTTTGGCGGGTAATTTCGGCATAGCCAGTAAAAAAAATGGGCTGGTATTGGTCTTTTGTCGTTATCTCTATTGGTGATTGGATTGGTTAGGTATATAAGGATTAGTGATCTTAGGTTTAATGAGAGAATTTAGATGGTTTGTTTATGGTCCATTAGTGGTTGTATTGAGTATGGTACCGATGATTCAATCGGGACTTTTTGGTGGCATATCAAAGCTAGCTTCAAAAGTAACTAGTGTAGTGCCTGCTGATGCGGCTAAACTAGCAGCTATGACACCGCAAGGACAAGCACTAGCTGCTGCAAGTAATGCAGCGGGTGCTATCGCTCCTGATGCTGCTGCTGCCGCTCCCGGTGCTGCACCTACTCCTGCTACTCCTCCTGTCCCTGGGGCTCCTCCATCGCCTCCTACTCCTCCGGCATCTCCTACACCTGCTGCACCCGGGGCTCCTACACCTGCCGCGCCGGCTGCTCCTCCTGTCCCTGGTGCTGCACCTACTCCTCCGGCATCTCCTACACCTGCCGCACCTCCTGCTGCTCCCGGCGCTGCACCTCCTACACCTGCCGTGCCGGCTGCACCTGCTGCCCCTGTCCCTGGGGCTCCTACACCTGCCGCGCCGGCTGCTCCTGCTCCTACTCCTCCTGCCCCTGGTGCTGCTCCTCCTACACCTGCCGCTCCCGGCGCTGCTCCTCCTACACCCGCTGCTCCCGGGGCTGCATCTCCGGCGCCTGCTGCACCTCCTGCACCCGCTGCTACCCCCGGGGCCCCGCCAACTCCTGCCACACCAGGTGCTCCTGCACCCCCTACTCCTCCTGCATCTCCTCCGGCATCTCCTGCTCCTGCTACTCCCGGCGCTGCTCCTGCTACTCCTCCTACACCCGCTGCTACCCCCGGGGCCCCGCCAACTCCTGCCACACCAGGTGCTCCTACACCCCCTGCATCTCCTACACCTGCTGCTGCATCTCCGGCTACTCCCCCAGCCACGCCATCGGCTACACCTCCTACACCTCCCCCTACACCCCCGGCTACACCTCCACCCGCCCAACATAACCACCGCAAACGGCACCATCCACGTAAACCACACAAGAAGCATAAATCACGCCCTCGTTATGATGACGATGATGAGGATGGCGATGATGAGTATGGTGATGATGAGGAGGATGACGAGTACGATGATGAAGAAGAATCTTCAAACCCACCGACAACAGATCCCTTATCTTCTTCAAGTCATGGTTCAACTATTAGTGGCGAAGGTGCAGCAGGATAGTTATTTGGCTTAATCATACAATAATCCAGTTACACTCTTATCTGTCTATCTTCACCAATTATTATTAAATCTTAATCTAATCTATTTTAACTAACCTACATTTTAGTTTAAACTCTAATATACTTAGTCCGAAATAAAATCGAAACTAAACCCATATTTAAATTAGACTTGGTTATAGTTGTTTAGTGTTTATTTAGAAATAAGCTGAATAATAATAGTTAGACAATTAAATTGGGTTAGTATAATTAGTAGATAGAGTTAGCATTGAATTGGTCGAATTAGTAGGTAGAGTTAGATAAGTAGATATCAACTCAACTCAACTCAAAGCAACACAATACCGATCCAATTGGGTGTAATAAATTGTAGATAGTGGATACTAGATAGTAGATAGTAGATAGTAGTATGCAATAAGTAGTAAACAGTGCCAATATGGCTATATTAAGATAGGACTATGTAAGATGTGTTTATGAAGCTGTGAAGGATCGCATAATAAGATCGTCTCTTGGGGCTATGCACTGGCCAATGCAGGAGCCAAGTAGGGAAGAGGAAAATTGGCCGGTGGCTGCTCGGAACTCTTTAGTGGCGGCTTCAGAGATGTTGTTGAATGAGCCTAGGGAGACTTGGGGAGCGCGGTTTTGTCCTCGGAATCGGGTGGCAAAACTTGGATTACCAGTGGCAAGCTCAAGGATGGCTCGGTCGATCTCTTCTAGTTTGCCAAATAGACCCATACTGTAGTAGAGAAGACCGCGTAGAGAGAACTCGCCGGAAATAGCCAATGAATTCTTCCTCTTGATCTTATCCAGAATCTCCTGGAACTTGTGCTTGAGTTTCTCCACTCCGGGAACTTGCAGCTCAAGGTTCTCACCTAGTCGACTCTGTAGTGCATCAAAGGTTCTGGTTAAGTCTTCAGTCACGGCCATGAACTTCTTCTTGTACTCTTTAGAGGCTCCACTATTACTGTTCTCAAGAGTGGTCCATTGGTCCTTAAGCTCATGAATCTGGTCGTTGACTTCGGCCCAAAGTGTGCCCATGGTTCGTCGCACAGGCGGATCAATAAGGCGCTTAACCCGATTGGCATGGCTATTGATGTCGGCACTAATATAGGGAAGATCCTTAACAATGGCATGCCGACTATCAGTTAGCAGCTTGGGATACTTATCCAGTAGGCCTTTAAGAGCAGTCGGGGAGTACTTGATCCCACTAACAATACTGTCCACTGTCCCAGCCGCAGTACTCATTAGGTAATCAGAAGCCCCTTTCATGCCTTTGTATCCGGCATCTAGATAGTCCTTATTCGGGTCGGCCAAGGTCCGAGTTAGTTCTTTGGCCGCAGACTTGGAAGTAACTAGACCTTTAGAGACTAAGTCGCCAAGTAGTTTAGCAGCACGCGAGGCACTAGAGAAAAGATCAAGTGTCTTATGCGCAGCAGCAGAAGCATAGGCTCTAGCTAGCAGTGCGTTTGAGAACAAGTTCTTTTTAGCATTCTGAATACCCTTATCAACAAAGTGTTTCTTGTGATGAACATGTGTAGTAATTTCATTAAACCGGTTCTTAAACGCTTTCATTAGTCCTCCTGAGTAGGCTTGTGAGCTTTTGCCAGCGGCAGCTTGCCTTGTGTCTGAGGAGGCTTCGATTTCATCATTATCTAAAAGAGGATGGGGCGAGTTGGTTTCATAAGGTGATAGATTCTCAAAAGAAGCAGGATGTCCAGGATGGTTTATTTGTTCTGGGTAGAGGAATCCGGATGGGTTGCTGTAAACATCGTTATTGTATCTTTCATAAGGGCCATCAAAAGAAGACCAAAGAGCAGACGAAATTGGGCGCAGAGCCGATCCAAGAGTTCCTTTAACGAGGTTGCCGATTAAGTGGAGAAACGAGTAGGCGGGACTACGATTGATCGACCTTTTTTTTTGGGAGATACCACCAGACAAGTCTGATGACATCTCTACGTTTGTATTTAGGTCGGCGGGAATGACAGGATTGATGGCCGGACTAACGGGGGCTGGATCAGCATATGTGGTTGCCTTCTCTTTAACTTCAGCACTCGCTGAAAGAGTTAGTAGAGCTAAAGTCCCAGCTAAGAGTAGTTGTTGCTTCATGTTATGGAAATAGCCGGTTGATACTTATAGTTTGTAGGTGATACTGTCTGGAGTTGGTTTCATCAGAAAACAAGTAGATGGCAGAAGTATCAGAGTGTTTAGGAATATGGAACAAAAAGCAGGATCTAAAGGAAGAACCGACTAAACTTCAGGAAAGGAGCTGTTTTGTCTTGTGTGTACAGAACAGTGTCTTTCTTCGTTGAGGATGAAACACGAACCAGCCCGGCGAGGAGTTTGAAAGAGATAGGCCGATCAGTGTTGAGGGTAAAAGAAGAATGGACGATTTTAGGGTCTCCTAAATAGATAAGGAAATCAGCACCGTATTTGACTCCCGAGGTCAAGTGCGTATTGGTATTAAGCAAAGCTAGGCGGCACTCAGTCTTGGCTGGATTCTCAATCATAAAAAATGGACCAATGACTGCGTCATATCTAATCATGAGAGCTAAAGAGGGGTAAAGCTGTGATAAACTTGGCTATTGGATTAGTAGTGAATTGATATCAGATTATTTCTTTTCCGAAATAGATTAAGCCAATCGTAGATAGATAAGAAATATGATAAGTGATTAGAATAAGTATAAATAAACAGAGTAGTAGACAGACAATGAGATTCAGCGGAATAGTTACATTTGGAACATTAGCATTAGCATTATTAAATAAAGAAGTACAAGGAAGTCCATGCTCACGCGGAAGTTGTCCAAGCCCACAATCAATGCAGAATATGCGGCAGTCATCTTCACCATGCTCACGTTCTAGACCGGCCATGCGCAGATCTAGCTCACCATCCGCATTAAGTAGTCAAGATTGCCCGACTGGTTCCTGCCCTCTACAGTCTCGGTCTCGGCCGAGTTCTGGCTCCTTATCAGGACCGCGAAAGCAATGCTTTAATAGTAGAGGCCAGCAAGTTCCCTGCGACCCAAGCTCTAGCCAAGGCCAATCTCGATCGCCACAACAGTGTTTTAATAGCAGAGGCCAGCAAGTGCCATGTGACACCAGCTCTAGCCAAGGCCAATCTCAATCACCACAACAATGCTTTGATAGTAAAGGCCAACAAGTTCCCTGCGATTTAGGCTCTAGCCAAGGCCAATCTCAATCACCACAACAATGCTTTGATAGCAATGGCCAGCAAGTTCCATGCGACCTAGGCTCTAGCCAACCAATGATGTCCAGTGGTGGGTCGTGCCCCCTAGGTAGTGGCGGCTGCTCATAAATAAACACCCATTGTACTGAATAAAGAGCAGCTTAGAATTACTAAAGATCAACGCGACTTAATTGGGTTAGTAAGAACAAATCCTATTGCACTCAATTCTAGTTTCCCCAACCAATGCCATATTAGCACGTCCCCACACCATTACACCAAATACCATCCCAACCCAAACTCTACCAACTACCAACTCAATCCAACCTCTACCAAATACCATCCCAACCCAAATTCTACCATCCCAATACTAACCTAAACTCTACCAACTCAACACAACCCAATCTCTCATCCTATATCTGTTATCTCAGTATGACTAAATCCCACCAAATTAAGTATCTAAGAAAGTGTTTATTAAGTTAACATTGAGATTGAAATTACTATTGGGTTAGTACGGGGCATTCCTTTTATAAGCATTATACAGCCATTAACTGCCAGCCAAAATTCAAAGCAAAGCCAACTTCTTCTGGTTTAGATATGCCTTTTGATTTTAGTGTATCGGATAAGCAGTCGGTTGGTCATATCAAAAAGCAGGCGCTGGGGAACACCTACAACTTGCACAATCCGACAGACAATTCTGATGGAAACCTCCGAATGACTAAACCGAGTTATCTTCTCGTACCCAAACGGGGCCGCCGGATACTCAAGAGGATTCCAGAATGGCCGTTCACTGCCAGAACAGTCCTGCATACACCGCTCATAATAACTGAGCTGCTTAAAGTTAAAGAACGTCAATTCCCGGCAGCAAAACTCCTGGACAACCAAAGTCTTATTAGGCCCAGTCGGTCTTTCCACCACCCAGATCTCTCCATCAATCAATTCCAGCTTACACAGTTGTAAATAGTACAGATACAGAAACACGCCATACAAGTAATCAGCAAAGACAAAAGAATATGTTTGCCGAAACTCAGTCAGCCTAACGTTCTCTATAAACCACTCAAAGGCCGCTTCCATTTGCGCAGTGATAGTCAGACCTAGTAGTGAACAAAAACTCTCTAAACCAACTCGAGTCAGCGGTCCATCCACCCCATGCAAAAACTCCAGCCGGCCCGGAAAGCACCGATGCAGCAACCTTATTACATACGTCAAAGAAATGCACCTCCACGCTGTCTCCGTCCAAGCCACCGCAAAAAACCGATAGCGCAACCTATTCATAGCCCGCTTAAAAAACCGCCATAAGTGTCTATCATAACGAAGTTTGCGTTTGAAATCCAAGATCGTATAATAGTTATTCCTTTTCAACTCATACTCACGCTTAATCAAAAACCCCAAAACTTCTAGCACCCGTTTAAAACACGACCAAACAACAGCCTCTTTCTCAACCGTTATATTCCCTAAGACCGTATAAATCAACGAAGCATACCTCTCTACAAATGAACAAGGAACCCCGCATTGTTTAAGTATGGCGTAGAGATAATCCAAACCAATTTTCATCATAGTCTCTTCTAACCCAAGATCGTATTTCCGTTTGGGTATCTTCCTAACACACCTGTCCAATTCACCCTTGGGAGCAATCTCAGTAGCATCTTTAAATTCCTCAGCAATCTGCAGAGCATGGCCGCTCGGACAAATCAGTAAATCGTCCTTTTTGGTCACAGGAAGACCACAAACACGACAGCGCTCCATCTAAATATCCAATTTTTTGCGTCACCATGAAGATCATCCTTGCCAGTCTTGGTCATGTTCTCAATAAGAAGAAGTGCACCGTGTTTAGTGTTGATTTCTGGCCCAAGAACAAAGAGTATATCGTTAGTGGTGGTCAGGACGGGATAGTACAGCTATGGCGAGTACAAGAGACAGATAGCAAAGAAATAGGTAAATTTGCCAAACATACTGGTGCTGTTTTGGGAGTGCGATTTAGTCCTAAAGGAGACTTACTAGCTAGTGCAGCCGATGATGGGAATGTTTTTATCTGGAGTGTAGATGAGAAGGAAACTCTTCTCTGTTTATCAGCTAAGAAGAAAATAGCGGATCATCGTTCGGATGTATCAAGTTTAGCCTGGACCAGTAAGTATTTAATAACAGGCGGGTACGATGGAGGAGTTCTAGTCTATGAAACAGATGGGTTTAGTCTGGTGAAGCGATTGGAACGTCATGAAAAGGGCTGTAAAGGAGTGGCAGTCAGTCCTGAAGGTCTTTACATTACTACTTATGGGGATGAAGGAGAAGTGTTTCTTTATAACCAAGACTTAGTTAAACTAGCTAGTACAAAGAAACCGTTTAAAGGCGTGCAGTTAGAGTCTTTCTTTAGTCGTATGTCCTGGAGTCCCGACGCCAAGTATGTGGCTTGTGGCTTGGCCTTTTTAGATCGGCGAGATGCTGTGGCTGTTTTATCTACTTCTTTAGTTCGTGATTATACCTTAATTGGCCATGCAGCACCTTGTGAGGTAGTGAGGTTTAATCCACAGGTCTGGGAGAAGGAAGGGAGCAAGTACTATGTTTTAGCAACTGGAGCTCAGGATAGAAGTGTGGCACTTTGGAGTTCAGGCCGGCCTAAACCATTGGTTTTACTGAAGGAAGTAGCTGAGCAGCCAATTATGGACTTACAATGGTCGGCCGATGGTTTATCTCTAGTAGGCTGTGCGTATGATGGATCGGTCTTTATTCTGCAACTGAGTGCCGAGGAGTTAGGCAGTCCCGTGCCCGTGGAAATAGATAAGGGCGAGAATCTAGTCTTCTCCAAAGAATTCATACCGGCCAAGGATGTGCCCGTCCCTTTCCCAGCCGTAAGTACTACAACTACTCCCCCCGAACCAACCACTACTCCCTTAAGCACTCCTACAGTCAACTCCGGGCCAGGCAATCAAGTCCCACTTAAGAAGAAGATTGTTCCACGGGTGATCGAGCCTTTAAAGCTAGCTGAGAACCAGAAAACAGTTAGAGGACCACGGGTTATTCTTTATGTGCCCGAGAAGACCGTTAGTAAAGAAATACCCGATAAAGACTATGCAGTAGAGATGGAAACACAAAACAAAGGAGTTGTCTATCGAATTAGTATAGACAGAGTTATTCGGCGGCTGATTGTCAAGCGCGATGGTCTAGAGTGGTTCCGATCGGAAGGTTTGAAGATTAAAGGCGTAGCCGCCGATGGATCTATTCTAGCCATTGCCAGTGAGGGGTACTCAGCCGACAAGCAAAGTCTAGAAACACTTTGGATCTACAGCCTAGAGAAGTGTATGCTAGTCTTACCAGCCATAGCTTTTAAACGGCTAGTAGCAATTGATGTACATGAGGACAAAGTATTAGCTGTTATGCCAGGCTTCTTTAAAGTAATTGATTTAACAGCTAATAGTTGTATTGAAGACATCTTAATTGAACAGTCAGCCATTATTAGTATTGCACTGGATAAGAAGTACTTTGTATTAGCTCTCTATGCCGATGGCTCAACCCAGTTTTATGACCAAAGAATGCGGACTTGGTTTATCTTAGAGCTTAATTGTCCTTCTATTTATTCAGATACGTTTACTAGTACACAGGCCGAACTAGACAGTACATTTGAGCATCTTGAGAACAGGTGTCTAGTCGGGTTAAGCTATGAAGAATGGAGTAATACGGAAGAAACACTGTCCCGACTTCTTCTTCTAATAGGAAATACCCCTGATTGTCCTCCCGGTCTACTCAATCGTCTTGATGGAATAATTGAAGGCTTCTTATTCTATACAGGTATCGGTGGAATTGACTTTATCAAAAACCTTCTCCACAAGACTGCCGAAACCTCCAAATCCCTCCAAAAGTTCGCCCATTACAAGATCAAAGAGCTAGAACTCCGCCGCTAAACCCCAGCCCATTTTGCTAAGTATTAAGGTGGTATGGAGGTGGTATAAATTAGGGCGGCATTGAGGTGACATACTTACTTTGGTCGGGTTGGGAGTGAAACTACAATGTATTTATTGATTTCATCGTTATTTATACTTTATGATCACCCGATGATATTATCAAGTACAAATAAGATCTTGTTCAGTATGACCAACTATCTTCATACTTTGTGTAGTGCCGTTACACAACCACTAATCTTTTCTCACTACAAATCGTTTATTCATTATCCGATTGCATTAGCATTAGGTTATTATTGGGTTGGTAGAGTATGACGTCATACCATCGTCTACATTCAATAAATGGCCAACTATGCCGGATCGAGATATATCTTTAATAAAGTATGTATTAGTCAAGATGGACTTCGTATTGAGTTGGGATTAGGTTGGTATGATTTGGTTGTTATAATTTGATATGGCATAATTTGCAATAGCATGTTAAGATAAGATGTGCTTATGCTTTGACAATCCAATACTAACCCATAACATAATACTAACTTAACTCAACTCAATACTAACTCAAATCAACATAACTCAATCCAATCCAATCCAATCCGATTCAACCCAACACCAACACCAACATAACTCAACTCAATACTAACCCAACTCAATACTAACTCAACTCAATCCAATCCAACTCAACTCAACTCAACTCAACTCAACTTAACTCAAATCAAATCAAATCTATATTTATTGTGTTATTATATGCAGCCGTTAATAGACTATATTCAATCAATTTAAAAATCAACAATTAATAACTAAAAGTTAATCTTAAACCATCTCAATTCAAGCACTATGTAATACTAACATACTCCGGACCATAAAGACTCTTGAATTGCGACAGATAAATATCTAAAATATACCCCCAACAGAAAACCAGCATAATAATCGCACCTATCCCCACTAAAAAGACAACCACCATTTTCCCCCCACTAAGCCACCGAAAGAATTGACCCAACCAACTATCAGCATAACTACCAGTCCGACCTTTCACAAAATCATCTATCACCCGCAAAACAGTCTGCTCATCTACCTCCTTACCAGCTGTTTTTTTCAATACTTCATTATACTGCCGCAACCGACTACATGATCGTTTAGCATTATCTATCAAATACAACACACAAAAGATAGCAAACAGAATAGCCACCACACTCACTACATTATTAGTCCAATAAACACCCACAGGCAGTTTTTGCATCGCATCAAGCAACGTAAAGTGAATCTCGTTAATAGATGCCCCGGTCATAAAAGATTTTTTGACCGCTAGATATATCCATAAAGGGTAATAGTAAAAGATTTACGCAATTTTCGACCAAATAAGCCTAACAAACTTCGCAACACAAATAACAATCCTGATAAAATAATAAAACTTCCTAATTTAGTAATAACCGTTAAGTAAGCTGTATTTTTTTCTTGCATGAAAAGAATCTTATTCGGTAAGAGAGCAACTAAACTCGAGTCTTCCGATCGTCCTTCTACTCTTTATAAGCCCGGGTCGGTTGTTTTAGGGTCCTTTTATCGCGAAACAAAAAGATCAATTGAATTTCGTCTTCCTAACGGTCAGATAGGCGAGTGTTTTAAAGAGTATCTTAAGGAAGAGTTATCTTCACTTAATCTTAAACCAGAAGTTATCACAAGTAAGTCTTTTTTTATCAAAGAATTTAACAAAGATCTCTATATTGAACTTTTGATTTTAGGAGATAAGAATACTATCTATGAATGCACTTTCTTTACCCAAAAGGTTCCCCAACTCAACTCTTTAGTCACTGGATTTATCAAGGCTGAAGAAGAAATGGGGTATACAGTTGAGATAGGTATTCCCACGAAAACAGCTATCCTTCAAACAGAACAGACGTACTGCATAGGCGAACTAGCCGTCTTTCAAGTCAAAGCCATCAACCGATCAGCTTATATTTTAACAGATAAGATAGTAAGAGAAGTTTATGTCGGGGAGAAGAATGAAATCTGTCCTGGGATTCTTTTAAGAACTACAGTTACTGGTCGGCCTAGATACGTTATTGGTGAGAAGAAGCCACAACTAACTAATTTACCTTATGCCTACTTATCTGATGCCTTAGGAGTATGTAATCCTATTTTAGAGAGTAGAGAGCAATTAGAAGTAGATGATGAGTCTTTAGCTATTATTGTTTACGTATCTGAAGATAGAGAAAAAGTCCATGCTGTTTCATTGGAAGAGTATCAAGCTGGTATTAATCAGCGATTACCAGCTCAAGATTTAGTTGGACAACTCTTTATGGCTAAGGTTAGATCGATACGTGATAATTATAGTTTGATAGTGACTCAAAATGATGAGGAAGATAAGCCAGGAATTAGAGGATCAATTAGTGCTGCTCATTATTCCGATCATTCAACTGATAATTCGGCTGCTCCTTTTAAAGAGTCTGATTATATTCAAGTACGAGTTTTTGCCGTTAAAGGCTACTTTGTTTCTTTTACAGCTAAAGAGTCTCTATTATCTGCTGTTCTTCCGGTCTTTCCTTTAAGTAAAGGGAGTATTGTTCCGGCGGTAGTTACTGGGAGTACAAGTAAAGGTATTGGTTGTGAGACTTTTGGTGGGAGTTATATCTCAATCAAAAAGTTTGATAAGGAAGAGTTTAATATTGGTAAGATTTATCAAATTCAGATATCTCAAAAAGGAGATACTCAGAATATGTTCTTAGGCCATCGATACTCACCAGAGGATAGTCCAGTTTTATCTGAACCGCGCAAACGCAAAGCTACAGTTGAAACTACTGGGAAAAGGAAGAGTCCAAAACCCACTAAACTACCTAAGCTAGAAGCAGTTAAACGGTTTAAAAACGGAGAGATTGTGGATGGAGTAATCACTAAGATCTATCAGTACGGTGCTTTTGCTGAAATTCTACCAGGATTTGTCGCGCGTATCAAGATAGCCGAAGTTAGTTCTAGATTTGTACCTGATTGGCAATCACTACTTCATCTGAAGCAAAGAGTTAAACTAGTACTTTATGAAGTAGATTATGACCAAGGCCGAGTAGAAGGTTCCATTAAGAAGTACGAAGTCCTGCAAATGGTACGTAGTGCCCCAGAAGAACTTACTACTACTCCAGTTGAGCCACTAAGTGCTCCACTAGTCTATGCCGAGGAAGAGATTGGTGAGGAAGAGTCAAGTACTGCTTCAGAGGAAGATGAAGAGTTCCAAATGGAGTTGTTCAATAGTAAGAATGGCGCTGGTCCTTGGACTAAGCGTATTTATACCTATCCTCCCCTTAAAGCCTACAAGTTATGGCAAAGTTCTTTAGAAGCAACTACTTCTCCTGAAACAAAGAAGGAGACTACTTTAGCTATGATTACTGCTTTAGGCCGATGTTCAGCTGAGAATTTATCTCCATTGATTTCAATTGATAAGATCTTAGGGGAAGGTTTTAAACGAGATGGATCAGTCTTCCTTAAAAAGGCCTTAGATAACTGTCGTAACTCCAGTAATTCCCATCTCTTCTATACGATCTGTTTACGGTTTATTAAAGAGAAGAAGGAGGCGCCCTTTGGGTATAAGGAATTACTTTACTATAGTATTAAGGAGAACTCATTAGCCGTAGCTCAGGAGGCAGGTAATTTGATTCAAAATTCGGAAATGAAATCTGCTGATAAGAAAGAATGTGAGTTGGCTTATGCGAGTGCTCTTTATCGCTTATCTAAATCGGAGGCTCGTAGTCATATTGAGAAGAAGTTAGCTAGTACGGAGAACAAGATTAAGTCGGAATGGGCAATTAAGTATGCTAATCTTGAGTCGAGTTCGATTCAGTCCCCAGCTGATATTGCTTATGCTCGTAATCTTTTAGATAAGCTTATTAGTTCTTTTGATCTGCCATTTGTGACGATCAAAAACCTTTTCAAGACTTATCTTACCTTGGAGAAGGAGTTCGGAACTAAAGAGCAGGAGGCTAAAGTCCTGGAGATGGCTAAGCAGTATGTTGCTCAGCAAGAATAATAAAGCCTGGTGCTGGATTTGTGATTTACCTACTGAGTAGGCTGTAGACCTAATTGGACTACTACATAATAGATTTATTAGATTTACTAGATTGGATAGATTTAGTTGACTTATTGGGTTAGCTATTGTTTTTGATTTGAGATAGTGTTTTATTGTATATTAAAATTGGGTTAGTATTGGGTTAGTAGTTGTCTATTTCCTTTTATGGTAACTATTGAGTTGGGTTGGCTTAGAAAGATTAAGGATGGGTTTTGGTCTGTTAATAATAAATGTGGTATTCAAGATACGATATTCTTTACTGGTGAACACGGCCTCTTGAATTACGCCAGCTGTATTAAGTGGATCTTATCTAAGATTGTTGTACGATATGAGGGGTTAGTATTGGGTTAGTATTTGGATTAGTATTTGGATTAGTCGGGGGAGGAGTGGTAGTCAGAAGAGGAATAGTCTTGCCAGGTGCCATAATCACTATCGTAGTAGTCGTCGTAATAGAAGTAGTTTTGACTGGGGGCGGTTGTTTCTAAACATAGGTATGGACTTATTATTAACGGCTGGACTTTGAGACGGTTTTCTCGGTCCTTATCAAACCATGGTTTGAAGAGATCAATAAAACTGCCGAGGCAAAAGAGAACGGCCGAGATGGCTAGTATGTGTGATTTGAGTAATATCTTGGTAGTGGGTGTGCTGGGATAAATTGAGATAATTGGGATGGCTGCTGTTAGTAGAAATGATAGGGCATAGAGTAGCCAGTGGCTTTGGCGGGCAAGTTTGGGTAGGACATCGTTAAATAGAGTTAGGCCAAGAAGACAGCTAATAATGGAGGCTAAAGCACAAACTTGAATGACTAGCTCAGTTGCTTTGAATAAAGTCAGATTATGAAGATGGCGATAAACAAGTACTTGCACTCCAACAAAGCCAGAAAGGGCTAGGGTTGCAGATACTAAGACGCAGTAAAAGAAGCAGTACTGCCAAACTTTGGGTTGAGTTGGATTGATAAAAACGGCCTTGACGTAATAGAGTAGTAGAAAAGAGATGGCAACTAATAGTTGGGGTACTTTCAAGAAGCCAAAAACTATTGATATGCCTTCAAACAGCTTCTGTTTCTGGAAAGCTTTGTACTGGACATACTCTTCAAATGCGTGCAGACTTGCTTTCACATGCCGTTTGAATCGTTTGTAGTCGCTAGCAATATGTCCAATTAATCGCCGTCCTATTATGGCGCTGAGAAGAGTCTTAAAATCTGCTTCACTGGCCAGGACAGTGTATGTGCGTCGCTGAGCATGCCGTAAACGAACTGCGGTTTCAAAGGTATATCTGGGCACAGGTTTGGTTCTTCTAACATTGCCTACTCTGTCACTAGTCTTATCATGGATTAACACAAATGTTTTGTCTTTCTCATCATAGAGATAGTTGATGTTTTCTAGATAAAGAGTTACATTGATTGGGTGTATGTATTTGAGCAGAGGACTGCTGCGCAGAACTTTAAGGTCGGAGGAGGTATGAATTAGAGTAGGTTTAGGAACAAGATCAAGAGCTCCGTTAAGCATATAGTGGGGATCTTTTTGGGGACTGGGTTTCGACTCAATAAGCTCGTAGTACTTTGTTGCGTCTAGGCATATTAATTCAAACTTATTAAGATAGCTGTTATTGATAGACATATGAGTGCACTCAATGAAGTTTTCAAGAAAGACACTATGCCTATGATCAATATCAGTTAGGGGCTTGGGAACACAATTCGGATGCTGAGTTAGCACAGAATATAGCATGATAATGTCTAGGACATTATCTATAAAGAATGGACCAGTGATCTTGCTTGTACCATCAGGATTAAGTAGGGTATTGGGTGCAAGGTAGCGAGCAAACTCGAGCCTAGGATTCACATTAAATAGATAGCGTAGTAAGAACACCTTGTTGAGCTCATCCACGGCACTGGGTTTAAATAGAATCTTCATTAGTGAGGCTATGTATTTGACTCGATTTAAGTCTTCGGGCTTAAATCCTAATTGCTCGTAGAAGCCCTCTTTTAGAAACAGATCCACACTACCCTTATCTAGACTAGAGCAGCCGGGCTTGTCTTTGCTATTACAACGGATCATATTTACTGGGCTAGTATGATAATCCTGTAGTGTTTGGCTAGCCCAACAAAAACCAAGATCAGCTAACTCTTTTAATGTTGGTGGATCTAGATCTATGTCCTTTTTTGATCGGAGTGATTTTAAGTCAACCAACGGAGAAGCAGTTCTACCACTGGAAATAAACAAATACAAGGCAATAAGCAAGATAGCCGGTCTAATTGCTCTTCCGTTTTGATTGAACATTTTGGATATGAAAATGCCGTTGAAAATATACCCCTGACCTGCCATAGTTGTTCATCTCTGCAGCAATTACCATATTTGGAAGTTTAAGCCCGGCAACGACTTTATCAAATATTTAGCTATATTAGATTAGTACTAAGTTGATACTAACCCAATATAATTTCAACCCAATACTAAACCGAATTGGATTACAATTTATTGATTATATGGATGGCTCTGATCTAGACCTAAATGCCACTATAGTGACGATGCCATCTTCAATGAGCCGGAGGGATTATAGTTCTTGATCTCAGTGATAGGATCGGCCAATAACTCGTAATGATAGATAGCCCAGATAGATAATCCAAACAAACCGCCCATTATTAGGGAAATAATCGTTAGTTTGAGAATATGGGCTAGTATTGTTCCAGTAGTACGCTTGGCACCATCGTCTTTTAGACCTTCATCAAGCCAGTAGCCAAAGGCATGGAGAAGGAGTCCAACACCAAAAACAATGGACGAAACGAGTAGAATGTGGCCATCAAGAAGCATACGTGCATCGTAGGTCGAAATAAAGCGAGCAAAGATCGGTATAGTAGCTACCATTAAGAAGGACATCGTATATAATACCCAATGGAGACGCCGGGTTATGGACGGCCAGCGATGATTAATTGCGCCTCGAACAGTAGTACAGCTTATTGTAATCAGCGGGGCAAATAACAGCACGGCTAGAATTGCCATATCGAATAAATTCACGCCATCATTCTTAAAGTAAACCATTGTCTGCACTATAAAGAAGGCCAGAAGGAAAAGGAATGATAGTCCCACAAGAAAAGAGAACAGTTTGTATTGCCAAGACCTATCGCGACGCCGGCCTTGAAGAGGTTCCGGCCAACCGGCAAGTGCAATAGCAATTACGAACGCTAATATCAGTATATTAATTGGAATCAGGTAAACTATCATGGCGTGAGAAGAAAATAGAACTTGAAATATAATAGCTGCAAGTTGGAGGTCAGCCAGAACTCCCCAAAGCAATTTGCCAATTGATCCGCGAGCTTTTTCTCGTTGCTCGGATTTCATGAACATTTCGACCTCTTCGGGAGTCATGCTATCTTGCGTATGTTGTTTTGTGCCTTCGTAATCTTTGAACCTATCTATTGCGCGGTCTTTGGTTTGTCTGAACATTGGTTGGCTAGGCATACCCGGACAAGTTGCCATTGCAGAAGTGAACAAGTTAAAGTCTCTACTACTGGCTGTTATGAAGAAGTCGTCATTGGAGAAGTGTCTTAATCGAACGGCGTCTTCAAAGGTACATTCAGTAAAGCTACTTATTAATAGTGTATTGTGATCATGAATATTATTCCAGTCCCAAGAAACTACATCGAGCTCCTTTTTCTCTTTGTTGTAGCGATACGTGAGTTTCTGGGAATAAAGTTGTCTATTAACTGGGTGAATATATTTGATTAGCGGACTGGCCCGAATGTCGTTAAGTTTCAAATATTTGTGTTCAAGGAGTGGTAGACTTTCTTCATTCTGTTCTGGAGTTTTGTTGGTAAGTTCGGTGTAGACTGCTGGATCTAAACACAACAATTCAAGCTCATTAACAAAAGATATACTTGTTGAATTAGTAGATATCCACCAGCTGAGATTTTCAAGGAAACCAATGTGTTTCTTATTAATCTCTGATTGAGTAGTTGGTTGATTAGACCTTGGCAGTTGATTTAAAGCAGTGTATAACATAAGAACATCTGAGACAGATTGTATAGAAGGAAATGGAATGCGATAGTACGAGTTAAGAGGGCTGAGTAGAGGCTTTAGTAGAGAGGCCGCCCTGATAACCCGATTAAGATTACAAGGGTTGAATTCTAAGAGCTCATAAAAGCCCTGCTTTATAAACTCTTCATTATCGGTAGTGTTAGTATCGCTAGTGTCAGTATCGCTAGTGTCATTGTCGTTATTGTGTTCATGCAATACTTGTTTTGCCCAAGCAAAATCGAGATGGGCCAGATCTTCTAAGGTAGGCAGAGATGCTGTTAATTTACTATCATCATCGGCTAAGGTTGCCGCCTTGCATTTAATAATGAATGCGGCTAGAGCAGCTAATAAAACGACTATTCGAGATATAATAGATTTTGGTGGTTGACTATACATTCTTGATATAAAAGATTAACCCAAAATATTGGTCAGAAATTACCATATTAGGAAACCAGTGAATTATTTAATTGGTGGATGCATTAGCAAATTGTCATACCCAGAACTGGCCATGAGAAAACATTACTTTTATTCAAAACAAGATAGCATTCACAATACTAAACCCAATAAATTAATTGAGTTCATACCCAGACATAGAAACTTGGCCTTCTTTGAAGATCTGTCTAATCGTGCCCTTGCCTTTCATTATCTTTCCTGTGTGCGTGCTCAAGAAGTCCTTGCTGCCCGTCTTCTCAGGTTTCTGACTTGTAAATCACAATTAAGTTAGACTAGATTGAGTTGGGTTAAATTGAGTCGGTTTGGGCGGGTATTGGGTTAGAATTAGATGAGTACCAAAGCATAAATGTAGATCCTTGCTTACAAAGCGAGCAGTTTTCATGGCAGCACTACTTACTAACAATCTAAGCTTGGGCTTATCTAAAACCACATAACTTTATAATTAATCACTATCTAGAAAACTATTTAATGGCATTAATTTTACAGAGCTTTGACTATCTTTAAGATGACGCTATATTCTAATTCATATTGTAGCCCCAATAAATCACTATTTGTCCTTTATCGAGGAATGTCTTTAATAGAGCATATCTTGATCAACGGAGGATATCCAACTTTGGAACACCACATAGTGCATTCACTGTTGGAAGGTGATATAATATATACGAAGTTATGGCCAAGTCCAAAAGTTTCGGTGGCCAGATTTCATTTTGTCATGATCGACCCAAATCCAGCCATAGGCAACTCAACAGCAATAGCAGTTCCACAGCCGCCAAGTGGTAACATTCGGCTGTTGTTCGATTGGGAGGTAGAAATGGTTCGACTTTGCGAGAACTTTAGCCTGGTATCAAATGCCGCGGTGAGAAAGTTATTACAGCTGATCATGCCAGCAACTCGCCACACAAACATACTTACATCACTGCGGAGCACACTCTCAGTACGGCAGCTACTTCGAGAGTTCGTCGTTCGCATGAGCGGTGATGCAGGCTATCTAAACATCGAGTACCCACGACAAACCCAGTATGCAACGATCAACGAGTATATTGATGAAGTAGAAAGATGCACTCGTCAGTGCCGAGAAGGTGTAATCTTAGACGAGGAGCTCTACAATGAGCCCAGATTCCAGGAGGTTTTCAAGCAAGGTCTGGCCCCCGGCACCCGAGCGCGGTTATCAAGTATTGGTCTATGGAATAACATAAGCAAAGCAATTCCAGCCTTGAAGCGCTACGACAACGAGTACATATCCGTGCTACAAGGCGTGATAAACCAGCCCGAAGAATACACGGTAGGCTCACTAGACTCGTTATACCAGAAGGTCGAGGCCAAGCAGTCCCGAAGCCCGCACACTCAACCGAAGGCATGGCCGTGCACCACAACCTCGCATGAAAACGAGCCAAGCCCGCGAGCAACTACCCCGCCAGCCAAGACTAGTAGTACAACTAAGCCCAAATACTGCACCTTTCATAAATCAGCGACTCATAGCACGACCGAATGCCGCACTCGACTCAAGGCCGAACAGCCGCCTAAGGAGCGCAAGCGCAAGTCCTTAGAACAGCCATCTCGTGGAGTAGACACCAAAGTACGTCCAAAACGCCCCTTTCTACTCGGGGACAACAATGTCTGTCTAAGCCATTGCGACCCTTCTTGCCAACCCGAAGAAATGAATCCGGGCCAACCGCTTCATACAATCCAGGAAGAAAGCAACTCTCACAATGGACTAATCAATGCCTCCCAGGCCTACTCAGCCACTTTAAACCGAAATACAGTCGATTTGGACGTTTCAGAAAGACAGAAGCATGTTTACAGCAAATCCCCACACGCTACGGTTAGATCTACTCCATTTGAACTAGTCAACAAGTATCACCTGCTTGATCTCCCCAAATAATCCTTCAAATGAACAACTAACCCCATTCAGTTGCCAGAGACTACCAACTCAAACTACTCTACGTCGTGCTACATCTCACCACACCATTGGGTTATGTCCAGTTTAAATTAAGTCTTGCTTACTATTCAAAGAACAAAATGGCCAAATCCAGTACTAAACCCAATACGCTCGGCTGCTGGTACTCTTTAAAATACCAACTCAACTCAACCCAACCTAACCTAACTCAACTCCACTCAACCTAACTCAACCCAATTCAACTCCACTCCACTCCACTCAACCCAACCCAACCCAACCTAACTCAACCCAACCTCGTCCAGAACCAAACGGAGCACCTATCACCGCCCTCTTTTCTTCGTATACCATCACCAGATTAATTGATCTCGCTACTCACTAGCAACCATCTATATTTATACGCCAATCTGGAACTTACCTAATGCTTTTATTCGAATAAATATCCCAAAGGCCGCAACCTCTAGTTATTATCTTAAACCAACACTAACCCAATAACCATCCGTTCGCAGACTTAGGAAGGCTTTAAGACCCACACCATTACCATCTCCCCTTAATTTAGACTCGCCCAATTTAATAAAGCTAGTCTAGACTCAACCTAACCCAATCTAAGATAATACTCACATCAACCTAACTCAACCTAACCCAATATCAACCCAAACTACTATTACGTTAGATAATTTTGGTACAATAACTGATTTGGTCTTCTGCACATACTACTTATAATACCGTTTATTTGTCCGTCTTATCTAACCCAATAGCCACTTAACACTCTTCTTCAATTGCCTCTAACAACTGCCCAAACTTATCGCGCAGAACAGCAATTGCCCGCGTCAAAACTTCCATCGGCGACAAACACCCACGCACGACTTCAACGTCAAAATGAAAAGCAGTCGGTTCTCGATACTCAGCCTCGGCCGTTTGTGGCACTCCATTCTCACTTCCAAACCATGGCATCGGCCACTCCTTGTTAATATTCCGCTCGTGCCAATACTTCGTATGCCGCAACAAGTTCTCCTCGTCGTACCCAAAACCCACCGCCGCCACGGGTGACCATTTAGAATGCGTTTTACCCTTCCCCTTCACGGCAATACATCGGCACTTAATTGACTGGTTAATCCCCAGTCGAGTAACCAAAGAAGGATGCAAAGGATCCCCAACTTGTGGACCATTGGCCTCCACAAAGAAGTCTTTAGAAGTTACATTCCGAATACCTCCAGCCGTATTGGCTACATCTAAAATGACCGAAATAGAACAACTCGAACAGTACTCCTTACAACTACAATCACCTGGATACTGATACTTATCAGCATTTTGACTTTCAATTGGAATCAGCCCTAATCTATCGGTCGTCATTTCTTCTGGTATGACTGTATAATTCTTATCAAACTGAACAATATCAATAGCCAAAGTAGGAATCTCCGTATGCATTACTCTTCTAAGTGCATTAGCAAGAGCTAACGTACAGTTCTTCAAGGTAAACTTTATATTCTCATCAGTTACTTCATGAATGTCTATTTTGGCCATAATTACAACTAGGCCTAAAAATAATCTGGCTTAATTGGATCTCTATTATTTATTGGTTATTCTCTCGTCTTTACTATGTATCCCAAGACACGATTCATTCTAGTAGTTGTTGCTGCTGTTTTGGTTACAGTTGGCGTTTTAGTACTTCTTTTAATCACTACTACGCCGCGTTCGATTGAGTATACGTACTCGCTAACTGGGACGTCTTCTGAAACACTACTTGGCTATCTGCAAGATATGACTCCGCCTAAAAACCAAACTACCGAGAGTTTATACGATGTACTCTACCAATTTGGTGTGATTAGAACGGCTGAGGATGTTGAAGACTCAGATTTTGACATTTATCCCTACCAGGCCCTTAGTTCATTCACTGATGATCCCGGGGCAGTGCCCGTGACTATGCTCTACCAAATAGACCCCGAAGAGGTGGCCTCAACGCGGCAGTACATGCAGTACCAAGAAATGGGCAAAAGAGTGCTCTACTTTATGGAGGATCCTGATTTTGCCGAGCAGATTCAAATTACTGCCTACAACTACAACCTGCGCAGTCGCCAAGTTGCTATCTTTATCTTTTATCAGGACGCCAAAGGAGCCCTCTCCGGCTACGTTTTAAACGATGTCTGGCTAAGGCCAAGACAGTATACTTTAATATACTTATTAGCTTCACCCAATAGTCAACCTGTCCTCATAACCGATCTAGATAACAACCAGTATCTAATCACCCAAGAATAATTAGATTAGGTTGGTATTGGGTTTGGTTATGTTCGAGTAGGTTAGGTTAGGTTAATATTTTGGTTGTTGTTTGGCTTGGTATTGGATTAGTATCTGGTTGTATATATATCTTAGGTAAATCATTCCTTATCTCTGCTTCACAACAATATCATAACATTATAACAACATTATAACAATATCACCATACATTTACTCTAAAGCACTTCTTAGATTACTTTTTAGAATATGTTCTAGATTGCTTTTTTGGGTTGCTTTTTAGTCTATTGGCATTTATTCCAAATACAATAAAGATATCGTTAGGTTTTTGTTGTGTTCATGCTATGCTTATGGGTTATGTTTTGGAATTAGATAGAGATATGATATGATAAACTAGGTTAGTGTGGTGTCTGTACCATTCCCCCACACATTTTAATGGGGCTCTCTAGATATCTCTACTTTTAAACGAGTTAACTACTGGAACAAAGAACTTAGATGTTTATTCCTTACTACTTTAAACGACTCATCCCAATACTAAACCCAAACCACCCCAACACATAATACTATACCAACACAATACCAACTTGTCTCTTGCTGAGTACGCTTGGATAAGAAGTCGTTATCCTTCCTTGGGGCACAACACCCACCTATCTCGAAATACTAACCCAATGCTAACACTTTCCACTTTAGCACTCCACAATTAATTAATCCATTTTCTTATCTACTCTTTGAGAGATCAGTTTTCATTTAGATAATTTTACTTTAGTTTTGAAAATTATGTCTTATCTTGAAATAGTTAGAGGTGTGAATAGAAATAGGCTTTATCGCGGTCAAGCGATTAGAAATAGGATCGTAGTTGTGCTGTATTCTTTATTGGTAGTGTTAGGTAGTGTTAGAGGGGGGTGTGGTGATGGTATGTGTGATAGTAAAGTAGGCGGTGTTAGTGATGTTGATGTGCAGGAAATAACAGCTCCGGTGGGTTGGGAAAAATCACCGAAGATGACTGAAGACCTAAAGGCACTTGGGTTTTTGTTTCGGCATGAAGAGAGTATCGTCTATGTTAAGAAGCACATGACTGAAGAAGTAACAGTGCCTGTCTCGGACTCTACTGTAGCTTTAACTTCAACTAACTCCACCGAAAGAATAGATCAACCTATGGTGTTGTGGCCTGAGCCCGAGTTGAAATTCACAATGCCTAAAACTAGTGAAGTAGACAAATTGCAGAAGGTTTTGAAGGCATTGAAGGATATTGTTGTTATCAAAGCCGAAAAGGCGGTGTTTGTATATCAACTAGAGTATTTAGGGAGGTGTGAGGACAAGTTAAAAGCTATATCTCGAGTTATCAACATGTTAGAGTGTGAGGAGCTGGAACTTAGAATAGAAGAGTATGACATAGAGAGATACTCGCATTGGGCTAGTGAAGTAGAGCCCAGTTTGACCGAATTAGAGGAAACAATTAAGTTTGCTGCTTCGAATTCAAAGCACAATCTCACAATTAACGTCTGTTGTTTGAACCCATCTAGGGTAGATCTTAGCCCCTTGAACATGTCCCTGCGAAACCTAGCTTCCAAACCCGCTCTGATAGTGACAATAATGCAAAAACTAAACAATCTTCTAACCTATTCCGAATCAGAGAACCTATCTAGGGATTTATCTGAAGTCCTGGCCAGCACCAATATTGATTGCACAGCTCTCCACAATCAAGAAATCCAATGCCAAAAGATTGTTATTCACCCAAACTGTGTGTTAACATTAACTGGTCTTGAGAATGCTACTACTAACATTCATTCCGAAATAGTTCTAGAGCTGCGTTGGGACATTCTTCTCTATCTTATCAGGCGCAATAATCCTATCATTAATGTTCATACTATTATAGCTCTTAGTCCCGCATCTACTAAGGAACTATTTCAACATCTTCTTCAAGAGCAACCATTCTCCACTCCCCGAATCCTTGCCACTAAAATAGCTACCAAAACCAACATCAAAGGTTGTTGGTGTCTTGAGAACACGTATAACCAATACTACAACCCCGAAGTATATGCCAAATATGGTATATCTGTTGACGAGAGCACAATTGAGTATACGAAAAGACAAGATGGTTTGTTAGATACGTTAAAGGTCCTTGAAAAGAATCTATATGTGGATTGTAAGAAGTCGATAGAACATGTGATCGCAAATGGGATCAAATGTCCTGCTGAGGATTGCAGCAATAACAAATTGGAACTTCAAGAACCAGTTGAGATCAACCTTGAAAGTTTATATGATGATGGTAATTCTGAATTTAACAATTATGATATTGACATCGGCATTGACCCGAATATTCTTTTCTGCCAGAACATACACTATACAGACATCAACATCAACGGATGTGACGATTATAAGGCTAGCGAGGCCTGCCAAACCCTTTTAAGCCCATTCGTCAATATTACTGCTCGCACACTTAGAATCTCGAATATTTATTGTTGTACAGTCTACACCTTTGATCTATCTATGATAGAAGGAGATGACGCACTCCCTGAAATCTGCCGACGCCGTCTTGATCTTAAGACCTTGATACTAGACAATGTTGATGGTAGCCTTGTTTACTGGATCCTAAACAACTACACATTTGCCGATTCTATGGAAGTGTATATCCTGAACCAAGACTACAGTAATCTTAATATTACCCAAATCCTCAGCCACCCTACATACCGGAAGATCTCCAAACTTGTGCTCAATGACTTTATTGGATTAGATGAGGTGAGGTTGTATGAGGAGTATAAGAAAGAAGGTAGACTCACTGAACTCTCATTATTCAATTACATAGAAGCAATGAAAGCCGAAAACAAAACCACCACGGATCTTGGTCTTAACAAACTGATGTTGCAACTGGAAGGTGTTGATTGCAATAAGTATGCTGAAATCTTAACTGAGTTTAAGAATATTGGTATTCAATGCGAGGAGGTTCCTTTTGCGGTTATTGTTGATCGTCAAATAGCGAATTGCAACTCTTATATAAGGGCGGCCACCTATGCTGTTTTGAGAAATTCCAACAAATCATTTGATAAGGAGCTGGTACTCAGAAACATTAATCTACAAGACTTAGAAGCGGATCTTGCCAGTCGATGCACC